AACGGGAAAGCATCGACTGTATTGCACAAACCCCAATATTGCACATAACCTGACAGACCCAATATTGCACTGACCCATATTGCACTGACCCGCATTACACTAACCCCCATTGTATAACCCATGCCCAACAGACTCCCATTGCACAGCCCGTATGACACTGATAATTGCATCCCCTTTTGTAACCATCATCATTAACTAAACATGATCACATGTTTGTGTGTCCCTCAGCCACACTTTTAAATGACTCCTAAAGGTAGGGAGACTTGTGCTTTCCCTCACAGACAGTGGAATACTATTCCAGAAGCTCACTCCCTGATATGACAGGACATTCTGTGAAAAGCTGGTCCGCCTAAATGACAATTCACAATCACTTCTCACAGTGGCTCGAGTCACTCGAGACCCGGCACTGATAGACTTTTGTTTAATAAAATCACTCAATGGTGGAGGCGCCAGACCATGTATGACCTTGTAGATTAGACAGGCTGATTTAAATAATTTAAAATGAGCAAAGTTTAAAAACTTATATTTATCTAAAATTTGACAATGGTGGTATGATGAAGGTTTCTTGTCTAATATTTTCAATGCTCTTTTGTAGCATACTTCGATTGGCCCAATAGCAGCATGACTCGTATAGGACCAACTTGTGATACAATACTCAATATGAGCCAGTATCATAGAGTGCAGGAATGTAATCGCTGCTGTATCCGTTAATGATGTTCGAATATGTCTGAAGTTCCGTATATTAACATTTACAGTTTTCACTACTTTTTTAATGTGTTTTTTGAAGGATAATTTTGAGTCTATTAGCACTCCTAGATACCTAAATTCCTCAACATTAGTTAATTCTTGTCCACCCAAGAAAACTTTTACTGCGGCCACTGTTGTTTTAGGTTTACTAAAAAACATTGATACAGTCTTTTTTAACATTAAGGCACAGGCATGAATCATTCAGCCATTTTTTGTAGATCATTTAAGGCTATTGAGAGCTGATGGGCTGCATCATGTTACAATAGAACATTATTTTATCTCCGTAGCAGTGGAACTGGACCACATCCAGCTTTGTGGAATCAGCTTCAACACCACTGACAAACCCATGAGATATTTTAATTATTGGTTATACCTGAGAATTTGGTGACCACGCCCCTTTTTGAAAAAAAAGTTATTCAAGATTTGTAGTCATATTTAATCATAAAAAATATAAAAAAGATATTTCTTCTGAAAACAAAAGTTGTAGTAGTTAGATATGGCAGTTATTGATGATACCTGAGAATTTGGTGACCACGCCCTTTTTGAAAAAAAGTTATTCAAAAATCATATTCATATTTAATCATAAAAAATATAAAAAAGATATTTCTTCTGAAAACAAAAGTTGTAGTAGTTAGATATGGCAGTTATTGATGATACCTGAGAATTTGGTGACCACGCCCCTTTTTGAAAAAAAGTTATTCAAGATTTGTAGTCATATTTCATCATATTTAATCATAAAAATATAAAAAAGATATTTCTGCTGAAAACAAAAGTTGTAGTAGTTAGATATGGCAGTTATTGATGATACCTGAGAATTTGGTGACCACGCCCCTTTTTGAAAAAAAGTTATTCAAAAATCATATTCATATTTAATCATAAAAAATATAAAAAAGATATTTCTGCTGAAAACAAAAGTTGTAGTAGTTAGATATTGTAGTTATTGATCATACCTGAGAATTTGGTGACCACACCCCTTTTAGAAAAAAAGTTATTCAAGATTTGTAGTCATATTTCATCATAAAAAATATAAAAAAAGAGGCAAATGCTGAAAACAAAGGTTGTACAAGTTAGAAGTGTTAGTTATTTATTGTGTCCTAGAGTTCTGTGCGTGTACATGGCTTCAAGTAACAGCTATTGTTCGTTTACAAAGCTGGTATTGATACTTGTTGACGCTCCCTATGCGCTTTTCTCGGCACTTGGATTGAATGGATTTCTCCGCATTAAAACAGCGCATTGGATTTGAAAAATCGATGTTGTAGTAGTTAGCCTAAGTAGAGGTGATCATTTTGGCACCATTACTTTCGTTTAACAACGTTGCTTTCGTGAGATATTCATGGCGGAAGTCCGAATCTGTGAATATCAAGCTGACTTTACCGAACTATATGACGCTACTTTACCAGACTTCTGCCAGGATGAGGCTGCGGGCATGGCCCCCATAGATCCATGCACGGCCCACGCTGTCACTTGTCAACAGTAAAGGTAAACCCATGGATGTGATCAAGCCTACGCCCCCTTTGACACTGTTTGGCCGAAAGGTAGACGCTTAAACTGTGATTACTGTGTGTGCGTGTGTCGCTTGTGTGACATGCAGTGAGTGAGTGATGCATTTAAGGCGACAAAAGCCGTCCCGTATCGATTCAATACGGGACGCACATAGTTTTTCTATAATACGGGACAATTCCGTATTTCAAGGGACGGTTGGCAACCCTACTTTTGTCTGATTTTACAGATGGTTAACTTGAATATGTATTCAAGCTAACTTGTAGCTAATGCTAACCTGTAGTGCGCTGCCGAGCCTTTCATTGTGGCTTGTATTTTAAGATAAGATTAACTTTATTGTTGTCACACAGGAGACATGTATTTATTTATTTGAGAGATAAAGGAGGAACATATTAAATAACATTTAACAAATGTTCAAATATAAACAGAAAACGGACAATCATAATATTAGTTAGTAGTAAATGAATAGGTAACCCAACTACATCATGTTATTTTTGACAGCACAGCAAAAAGAAAAAAGGCCCAATGTGAAGCTGCAATGAATGTGAAGTGGAGATGGAGCTAATGTACAGATAGAAAACTGGTCATTCATAAACATTGGCTCATAACCAACGCAGCAAAGATAGCTGTAAGGGACATCAATGTATTTGCATGGGAATAGTGTTTCTATATTGTCTTTCTGATGCATAATAGTGGATTAAAAAACAATAAGTTTGAACACGGTGTTCTGTCGAGTTGGTCTGCCCGTCGAGATGATCTGGCTCAGCTGTCAATGATGTAATGCAAACCTGCCCATGCGCGTCTCACGCGATCCATGGTCTCACGGCAGCCGAAGCAATCCAAGATGGCGGACTTGTAGTCCGCGAATTGCTTTAAAAGTTAAATACGAACGAGTTAAGACACGAATGTCACTTTTAATGCAATTTGAGGCGAGATGTTGATGGTTCCGCGTTGTGATATGTGTGTTTTAAGAGTAAGAGTTTCGTGTAAAGTTTGTTTTAAGCAGTCCACTGCTCCTGTGAAACTACACTGCTGCTGTGTGATCGCTGTCACTGAGTTGACTGCTGCATACGTCAGGCCCATGACGCGTCCTGTGACTGGTCTGTCGGGTTGATAATGGTTGATGTATACAGGTGGATGTAATTTCCTGCTTAGCATTGCTGCCTGTCGCACCTCTTCCGGTGCCCATGGGTCAGCTGCAGGGTCAGCTGCAGGGTCATCAGCCAGGAACCACCAATCACCAACGTTTCGCCCCTTTAATCCTGGAACGTCTCATGGTGGCGGAGCAGTGACAAGGACGTCTCCTTGTCACTCCCTGCAGCTGGAGAATGTTATCCCCCGCAGCTGTCATTGAGGTTAGCTATACTTTCCCCAACTCCTATCCTTCCTCCTCAACCAGAGCCAGAAGCTGCCCTTTTCCGCCTCCTCCGAAAGCTCTCTTGTGGCCCTGCGCAGCTTTCCCCCCGTGACTCCTGCATCCCTCAAGAGCCGTATCATTGACAGCCCCACGAAGCCTCGGCAGCCAACTTCGCCAGGGTATATGGCGGCCTTCCATCCAGCCTCCCGGCACTCTGCAGCCAGCTCGGAATACTTGGCCTTCTTGCGCTCGTAGGCAGCCTCGATCTCCCCTTCTGATGGAACTGTGAGTTCAATGAGATGCACCACTTTTGCCTTCGAAGACCAAACCACAATGTCAGGGCGGAGAGATGTGATGGTGATCTCCGTGGGGAATTGGAGCTGTTTGTTAAGGTCAACCCTCATGTCCCACTCCTGGTTGGGGGCAAAGGGCCGCGATGTCTCTCTTGGCCTGGTGTAACTTTGCCCATCCCCTTCCCTGACAAAGTTGGTGTGGCTCTTTGCTGGTGGTAGCTGTTTGTTACCCTGTCTGCACCTTTCCAGGACCTCGGCGAGCTTCCTGAGGACCTGGTCATGGCGCCACCTGTAGCGTCCCTGGGAGAGCGCAATCTTGCAGCCTGACAAGATGTGTTGAAGGCTTGCGTTGGGAGCGTTACAGAGTGAGCAGCATCCCTCATAAATCAAATGTTATGCATGTATCATACTGTATTCAATATGATTAATAGTGTGTTCAAACAAAATATTTAATTAGATCGAGTTTTTTCCCCATTCTGGCGGGTTTGTGCGCATGCGCAAATCAGATTTGGGCACACTAGCAGTGTAGTTTCACAGGAGCAGTGGACTGCTTAAAACAAACTTTACACAAAACTCTTACTCTTAAAACACACATATCACAACGCGGAACCATCAACATCTCGCCTCAAGTTGCATTAAAAGTGACATTCGTGTCTTAATCCGTTCATATTTAACTTTTAAAGTAATTCGCGGACTACATGTCCGCCATCTTGGTTTGCTTTGGCTGCCGTGAGACGCTCAGCGCAGGTTTGCATTACATCATTAACAGCCAGATCATCTCGACTGGCAGACCAACTCGACAGAACAACTGTTCTGCACCTTTCTCATCTCCCCGTCATATAAACTTCAGGACATGGTCAGTTCACAGCTAATTCCGACCGCTCACTCAGTTTTTCTGTCCCAGAGACGAAATGTGTCCAAAATAACACAGGAAAGTCCTTTAAGGAGGAAGAAGTCGGCGATCTCAGCACCATACAAGTGGCACGTGTGGTTTGTTTGTATCCGTGGGTGAAAATCTCGCACTTCCGCTTTCCAGCCCTATCAGCCAATCCTCCATAGATGTAGCCGGGGCCAGAACACGACTTTGTCCTGTTCATCTGAACATGGCGTCCACAGCAAACCAGTAAGTGTGTTTTCTCATCATTAGTTGGTATGTAACACGCAAACCACTGCTGTTTGTACTTTCTGAACATGTTTTTACCTTAGCTTATCATTAGCTTGCTCCGCGTAGGTGGCTTCTATGTTTTGGCGATTCCCCAAAGCTGATCTTCGCTAATGCTAAGCTAAAATGAACCGCAGGAAAGCCAAGTACATGGGGGTTTGCGGTTCTCGTGTGACATATGTACTATGTTCCCAATTTCAATGTGTATATTATTCTAGCAGTGCAGCAAGGACGAAACCTGCTGACTGTTTAGAGACAGCGTGCTAAGGGGTTGTTGTTAATTATGTTGTTCATTTTTATGTATCTAGACCTCCGATAATTATTCTATCTTTACTCTTAAATTTTGACATCTTAGTGAAACCAAGATGGAATGAAGGATCGGTTCTTTAGGGAGAAAACAAACCCATGGATTCAATATTAATGCTACAGAGAGGAATCAGACTGATAGATATGGTTTTAATTGAGTATATTTGTAAATCCCACTCTACCAGCCTCCTGTTAAAGACTGGACATGTATTTACATTTACTGTTAATATAACATGTTAAGTTCATGTGTGTGTTTGTAAAGGCATCGTACTTCTGCTCCTCCTCAGAGCGTCTGTTTCTACTCTACTACTGTGTATTTGTATTAATTAATTTGACTGGGACAGTACATGTATATGAACATATATGTCGACATGTCTGATTGTAACAAAAGGCTGATTTTAATCCCAGAAGCACCGATTAATTAATTTTTTGTGTGAATTTCTTTTCCAGAGGCAGCTGTCTTTCAGAGGCCATCATTTCTTCATCCATTTCCATCACCTCCAGCTTCTGTGGATTACGATATAAACTACAACGACCAATATGTTAATTTGTTTTATTAATTACAAGTCATGGATAGTTAGAACACATCTCTCATTTTCTGAAGACATATGCAGCAGCAGCAGCAGTAACAGCAGGTGCCTGGACGTCTGCCTCTGACTGTCTTTTCTACGGTGGACTCATCACAACCTGGAATAAAATAAAATGATTATGATTTAGTTCTTTGTGTGCAATGAAAAGTGATGTATGCGTTTGTTTTATAGAACCACACAATCCGTGAGAAACATGTTTCATAGCTTTTATTTAAGTACTTCTAATCTTAAATACATTTAAGCCATGATCAGGTCTGTTGGATTTCAAGAGGCAAGGAGCTTGTGCTCAAAAAGTAAGTACTCATGACCTTAAATCTGGTCTGTAAGTTCAAGTCCACGCGTCTTCTTTTTTTTTTTTTACTTAATACAAATTACTTTACAACTAAGTGATGCACAAACGAGGGCCATAGCAAATCCATCAATCGCACTAAACATGCATTATTTACATGAAATATCACATTTTTAAGACTAATGATTACTCTTAAAACAATTGCTAGAACAGAGTATAAGTATAAACAAAGTATGACACAAAAGCCGCCTTTTTGGGTTTTCATAATTACTTCCACAATTAAGACTGTTAGCATAAGGGAGCTCTCAAAATGACTCCCAGGGCATGACGCTCCATTCTGGGCATCAGCGCGGCTCTACACACGTGGTTAGCGTGTTAGCACTGGAGCTCAAAGCCGGAGAAAAAGTCCAAAGAAAATCTGTTTAATCACCAAACAGACCTCTGATATAACAATAGAAGGGGCTATTTCCCACCTCCAATGTTAATACAATTAAATGTTATGTCCTAATTAAAACGTAAATTCAACTTTTACCTTTACCTCATCATGGCCGCTCCTCTCTCCGCTCCGTGATCCATGCTACTGCGGGACGCTCACGTACAACAGCACGGCCTGATAATAGTGTGCAGCGTCCGAATCGCCATCAGAATGAGTCCACTCACTCAGTCACTCACTCAGTCACTCACTCACAATAGTCCCGCACGGTATAGTGTGGACATTCGGATAAGGCCAAAGTTGTGTTCTGGCCCTGGCTACATCTATGGAGGATTGGCTGATTGATTGCTTTGTTCTTGATTTACCCGGAAATAAAGCATGACATTTCAAGCAACGAAAAAAAATGCAACGAATTTTTGGACACTGAAATTTTTTCAACATTGAATTTTTTGACACTGAATTTGAAAACATTGAATTTTTTCACACTGAATTTGAAAACATTGAATATTTTGACACTGAATTTGAAAACATTGAATATATTGACACTGAATTTGAAAACATTGAATTTTTTCACACTGAATTTTAAAACATTGAATATTTGGCACTGAACTTTAAAACATCGAATTTTTCGACACTGAATTTTAAAACATTGAATATTTTGACACTGAATTTTAAAACATTGAATTTATTTACACTGAATACTTTTTTGTTACAGTTTATAGAATTCAAAAGCAAAAAAAAGTGTTGATAATAAAAACACAAAATAACCTTCATAAAGGTTTCGATTAAAACATACTGTAGAATAATTGATTTTTATAATTTATAAAAAATATATATGTATGCAAATTCGGGATTCAGAATGAAGTTAAAATATGTCTCATTTGAGAATGTTCCATGGTATTCTATGTCTCCACAGATTCATGCAAGATGAAATACACCTGCAGATATATATTGATTAAAGATACCACAAGCATATTCTCATATTCTGTTATGTGAAGGATGGTTTGAAAATGTTTCAAAAACAATAGTATATCTATTCATTTCACACTGTTGGTTCACCTTGCTGTGTCTGTGTTCACTTGAGTCATTTTGTGTCAGTGCCAATCTGGGCAAATTTGAGACAGGTCCAATATTCTGAACATCTGGGACAGGTTTACTTTGTGTCCCAAAGAATGAGGCAGCATTTATCATTACTGATCCAGATTTTTCTTTATGTTTTGCCAAGAAATGTTTTGTTGTTGTTGTATTTTACAACATTGTCCTAGATTTAGAATGGATCAGATTCAGTGTATTTGTCATTTGCAGTTGTTTGGTGCTTGTGCTCTTGGACGGCTGCATGTTCTAAATGTAATGTGGAATAGTCTCTTAATGGTGGGAGCACGGCGGCTGTCGTCAGGCTGATAGGAGCCTTTAAAAACATGGAGCAGCTGAGACCTACGTGAGACCACACATCCACGCTGCAGGTAAGTCCAACCAGACTTTTAGAACATATTTGATATGTTATATTATAGCTATGGGGAGTAAGATGAAAATAACACTTCAAAGTTTTGTATGATAAATTAACTGTTGAAATCATATTTGTGTGTTCTATGTATTTCTAAAATTATTATGATATAAAATTTTGTACTTCTTGGATTACTCAAATATACATGAATCACAAGTTTGATACAAAAATGATATGTAGTTAAACACTTCTTTCACTTTGTTTGACACCAACAGCAATATGAATCATGTGAATGGGACATTATTTTGAATTATATTTGAATCTCTTAGCATTATGTCTTGTGTATATGTGACTTCAACATTATCAGCCTGCAAGTGGCAACCAGACGTCCCTTTTCACCTGGGACAGTCCGTGTGCCCCATGTCCCAGCAGATCAATCTGAATACATTTACCCCATGTGTGTGTTTTTTACAGGTCTTGTCCCAGTTCTTCCTATTTCTGACCATCTGGACGCCTGCCAAGGGGAAGATAAAAGTATTTAATTTAGGCAAATTAGTAAAGACATTGACAATCTTTCATTATACAGTAGAATTGCGAATGAGCCATTATTATTGCATCAAAACCAAATGCATAACACAAAGGATGGATGGATAGATATACAGTATGTACATATTGGGAGTGACTTGCCCAAGGACAGAACACATTCAGCAGCTGCAGCAGAGGGGGTGGTGATAGTGTGGGACCCTGGCTGCTGTGAGTCTGCTGCTGCTGATACTAGACTGTACACTGGAAAACAAACTCTCCTTTATCAGATGTGTCCTATTCAATGTATCAAGAATCATTTCAGGGCATAGATAAACCCACCGACTAAATTTGGTTCACTGAAACCTGAAAACTTGCATTGACCCTAACCCTAATAGTTAGGGTTTAATAGTTTTCCCTCCTACTTTTTCTATTGTATTTGTTCAGCTATAAACGCATTGGTAGTTTTAATATAGATTTTAATGTAGAATATTATTTTGTGTTTCTTTTATCTGACTATGTTGTGTACAGTGATGTATATTTCAGCCATCTTCATTCTCAATCACCCCCATTGCCACACACTCTTTTTTTACTATTTTTTCTCTAATCAATTTCTATTTTTCTAAATCCATGATACATACACAGATGATGGCTGCTATTTGGCTCTTTGTTTGTGAGATCATAAGGCACAAAGGGTTATTGAGATACATCTTGAGTTTTAAAATGTTCAAACTGAACAAAGTTTTTCTAAACACTTACTAAAGAAGAACTAGATTACTTACTAAAGATTACTTACTACTTACTTACTTCTAAACAGTGTTGTTGATCCTCAGCCATGGCCTCCTCTGCCTCCTTGGCCTCCCTGCTCCTGCTCCTTGTGGCTGTGTCCATGTCCCAGGCTCAGGTTAAAATCTTCAACCTCCATGCCAGTGACCTTCCTTCCGACATCCTGGGCACCACCGACGGCTTTGTCAAGGTGCAGTAATTTTGAACCTTTTTTGTTTTATAGATTAATTTGATTCACTGTATTTTGATTTGGATCAGACTTCTGCTATGGCACTTTAGCCTTTGACATATTATCACCAGGTGAATGTGGATCACATGAAAAAGGGTTTGTTGTTATCAATTTCTTCCAACTCGGGAAGAATAATATAAAAATAATAATATTGCCTAATGAGTAATCTTATTCAAAGTCTTTGTAAACTCCATCATATTTCACTTGTATACAGAAAAACACAGCTGCATACATTTTCCACAGAGGACTCTATTCAGCCAGCAGGCATTTTTTGTAGATCACATATAAAGTTGCGCGGCCACGGGGCTAATACAGAATTCAACCGAGTAGTCTTTTATACATTTCAAACTGCTTTCTCAAGAAAAGAACCACTAAACATTGAACTAAAATATTAACTTATAGTTTAAATAAAAATACTTTTACCTTATTCCTGGTTTTGGTTAAACCCAAACATACCTGTTCAGAAACCAGTACCAGAAAATATACAAACCAAAATTACATCAAATTATTTGGACGAAATGACTTCCATAACTTCTGCAAAATAGACCTCTGAAGTTGTGAAGGGCAGGGCCTGGTGAGTACTGGGATGGGAGACCTCTGGGAACACCAAGTGCCCCAGTGGGGCGGCTGCGGCTGTACAGTGCCAAACTGTTGTTGTGTCTTTAGGCAAGACACTTCACCCACATTGCCGGGAATGAGTCTGGTGTGTGTGTGAATGGTTGGTGATGGTCAGAGGGGTCAATGACACATACGAGTTGCCTCGCTTCTGTCAGTGTGCCCGTTATTATTATAGATCCAGTGTGCCCCAGTAGTAGTTTATCTCCACCGTGTATTGAGTGAATGAATAATCTCATGTGAAGCATCTTTGAGTGTCCTGAAGAGCCAATAAAACCAATGCATTATTATTATTGTTATTAATGGTGACTTAAGTCTGAATTTCTCCTACGGGGATCAATAAAATATTTATCTATCCATCTATCTATCTAGTATAGTCAAGTTCTGGCCCCGACCATGGACTGTGTGTCCCTCACCAGCTCTCATTTTTAAATTTGGCCGCAGACCATAATACCTTTAACACCCTTGCTTTAGACCCTGCTTTAGACCCTTTTTTAGTCCCTGGATCAGAATCATACAGTATCTCTCTTGGATGGGGCTGTGTGCAGGTATTCTGTGGGCCTGCAGCTCTGGGCCAGACAGCAGTGAGGAACAACAACGCCAACCCCTGGTGGGAGGACGAGTTCACGTACTACAAAGCCCAGGAGAATGACGTGCTGAGGCTGGAGGTGTTCGACAAGGACCTGTTGTTCCACGACCTGCTGGGAGTGTGCCAGCGCCAGCTCAAGGCGGGAACTCACCAACACGACTGCTTCCTGGAGAAAGGAGGCACTCTGCACTACAGCTACACGCTCAACGCTTAGTGGCAGTAGAACTCAGATCTCTAGTACAATAAACACATGTGACAAGGCACGATTCCAAAGTTTATTATAAAGCTTCCTCTGTCTTTGATTTCAGCAACACTCACTTTGGGAGGGGCGACATCTAAACATGTTTTAAACCGACCTGTAGGAGAGTATTACTAAAAGACACATTCAGATTCACTTTATTTGCCATTTGCAGTAAAACCACATTGGAATTGTTGCTTCTCAGCCAGAAGGTCCAGGGTTCAAATCCCGGTCAGTACAGGGCTGTCATGAGTGAGTTTAAGGAGGACCAAAAATGCAGGAACAAAAAAAATACTGATTTAATGATGGTAAAGAAATTAAAGTCCAAGGTTAAAAAAAATATATATAATCAAAATGAAACACGGAAACCAGAAAAACGACAGCCAAGGACAAACAAAGACAATGACAATTGACTAGCAAAAAATGGGGAAGAGCTCAGGTGCATAGATACAGAGAGAGACAGTTGAAACACATCGGAGCGGGGCAGACCATCAACACAGGGGAACAGGAAGTAAAACTAAAACAAAACCACAGAACTGAAGAAAAAATAAAACCAAGTACAAATATAAAATCCACAGCATGACAAGGGTCTTTATGAGTGGAGTTTACATGTTCTCCCTGTGTATCCGTAGGTTTCCCTGACACTGATAACATGCACAATAGGAATGAGTAAGTGAGTGAGTGAGTGAGTGAATGGATGGTGTTGGTTGGGGCATTGATGCACCATGTGTGGAGAGAATGGAACAATATTTGAATATCAATAGTGACCCATCCTGCAATGTCACTGGATGGTCACTACTGGGGACGCATCTCCAGCTGTTGATGCTCGGCACGGGTCAGTGCACCAGAAAATACTACTCAAAAAAACAGTTACTTAGTCTCAATTTTAAAAGGCTTTTATAACAGTTGAATATAAAACTGTGTGGAGATTTCCCCCAGGTTCCCTACCAATACAAAACGGTGTGTGTGTTGAGAAGAGCAGTTACACAGGAGGAGAGTTGTACTGATTTTAACAATTGACATGGCTAACATTAAATGGATGTACAAGTTAAAAAAATCACTCAAAAAAGACTGTATTGTAAGAAAATTTGTAATATTGCCAATTAGACAACCTGCTACTATCCATGAACTAAAGCCAAATACAGCTGTGTGAGCAATATATAACCCCGTAGAACCCAGACCTAAACGGAAATGATCTGTGCTATCTTTGGAAAGCAACATTCAATGTAGCATATTTTCTTCTTTGGGTTCTTGCTGCCTACATTAAAACAAAAAGCCATACTTCTTTTGGCATAATCACTGACATTGATGTTGTATATTTGCAACCAAGAGTGCTACAGGTTTAAATTGGGATATCTCTTGGAAAAAAACAGAAGATATTTCCAGAAATGTGAATACTTTGCATTCGTGCAGCTGAGAAGGAGGAGCCTCATGATTAAAACCAACACACAGGTTGTGGTGTGATCAGATCCAGTCTGCACCATACGGTAAGAGCACGTTAACATTGTAGCAGATTTTTCACATTTGTACAGAAAACAGGAGGATAGTCTCATAGTTTATTGTGAGATTTAGTCTTTTTATTCTTTTGAGTTTAATGGAGATTGGCATCTGACTAACAAGGTGCGTTTACCGCCATCTACTGTATTTACAGTATATGAACAGTAGATTAACTCAACTGCAGTCTTTCCCCTGTGTGTTGTATTATTTAGATAGTAAAAAATAACACTGAGCAATTTTTTTGGAAGGATTCAGAGGATTTTTCAATGGATTTTTCAATGCATTTCTCCTGTCATTGCTACAGTAACCCAGCGCAGGTGTATACAGGCCCCTCCCCACACACAGGTGTGGAGCTTGTTCAAAAGTCATGTTCACAGATCTCAGACTTCATTCACCGTCATGACTCAAAGCCAGTTTCTCACCAGTGAGACACCTTTGTTATGATTTGAAAACATATTTAGTGGGATCATGTGTTTAGTGTATGTGCATGTGCTGCTGTTGTCAGAGGTGTAGATTAAGAAATCCTTTATTCGTCCCTAAGTGGGGAAAATACAGGTTTGCATCACAAGTTACAGACAGAGAAATGAGGAGCACACAGCATAACATAAATGAATAACTCTTCACTAGAATAAAATAAAATCTATTAACTGTAGCATAAAAAGAAGCGGTATACAACCTCTATCTTTAGCATATTAAGGGAAGAAGTCTAAAATCTCAACTTTTAGCATGATGAAGCAAGTATAATCGCTCTTAAAGCATTTTAGTTTTCACATCTATGTATTTAGGATTCTGTCTTATCTTTAGTAACAAGACTACAGGAACTTTCTTACAAGTCTGCTAAAGATGACACATTTTCTAAGATGAAGACTGCATGTGGTCTCATTTGTTTGCAACATGTTGATTTTACAAGACTTTATGGGGCAAACAATACACTTATCTGTGTAGAAGTGATGCTAATAAAAAAATCTATTCTTAATGATTCTGTATTACTTCATAATAAAAAAACTGTTTTATTTATTTAGCTCCTTTTTCATGACTCTTAAAGACACATGGCAATTTTCCTGCCTGCCCAGTGGTGGTAAACTACTGTAGCCACAGCTGCCTGGGGTAGACTGAGAGAAAAGAGGCAACTAGTTAGGTAACACTTGGGTTACTTACTTGCCACCTCCAAATAATCTGCAATTGTAGTAATTTTCTTTACCCTACTTGTGCTCCCTGTGGCTCTGACAGTAGTATAGTAATAACTGTGAAAATATTGTTATTTGTTGTTTGCAGTGATGCGCTCCCTGCTCCTGCTCCTACTGGGCGCCTCCGTGTGCTGGGGCCACTCTCAGCTCCGGGTCTTTAACCTCCGAGCCAAAGGCCTCCCGCAGGACTTTTTTGGGATCACAGACGGCTATGTGAAGGTCTTCTTCCGGAACGACCTGTTGGGACAGACATCTGTGAGGAAGAACACTGTGGACCCCTGGTGGAAGGAGGAGTACACCACCTACACAGCTCAGGAGAACGCCACGCTCAAGCTGGAGGTGCACGATGAAGACCTGATCTTGGACGACCTGCTGGGGACCTGCCTGAGCCAAGTCCAAAATGGGACGCACCAGAAGCAGTGTGCGTTAGAGAAGGGAGGAATGCTCTTCTATGATTACACACTGAGCTAGAGGAAAATAAAACAAAATGTACAAAAGTATCTTGTTTTTTTGTCTTCTGTCTGCTGCAGACACACGGATGTGCTGTGGAGGTCACGTAACTAGACCAGCATAGGACTTCACCTTGGTTAACGTCAGAGGAAAAAGAAGAGACCCACATAAAGAGCCAGGCCTTCATGTTCTCATTGACCAGGGCGTCCACACAATCACATGTTTCTGGCCTCTTGAATTAGTCCAGATAATCAGAGTAATTGTACCACTATAACCACAGACTATACCTCAGACGGCAGAGTGATATAAAGGCTGATAATGAATGTTACAAGCCAGTGTTGAAGGCCATCACAGCCCAACAACTCTTTACAGAAGTATTATTGAGTGAAAACTTAAAACCCACAGGCATATGTTAAGCCAGGGTTGTCCAAACTTTTTAGTAAGAGGGCCACTTTCGTTCATCAAACTTGACCTGAGGCCAACAACCTGGATTAAATAAAACTGGATTCTGTAATTTAAAATGTGTTTTGATACGTCCTGATTGAGGCTCTGCAATAAACAAGGTATAGCATGTGGTGGAGCTGAAGTTGGTTGAAGGACACTGTCAAATTCCCTCAATGGGCCACATAAAAGGGCAGAGAAGACTGCAATTGGCCCACGGGCCTGAGTTTGGACATATCCGTGTTAAAAGGAGGCTGTGATCAGGATCATCCATTTTCTTCCCCTTAATCCATTTCTGGGTCGGGGACTGACAGTCAGAGCTGCACCCAGTACACAGAGCACCAGCCCCTCACTGATCCTCCTGCAGGTGGTAGGTCCAAAGGAGCTGAGATCTTTCTGGATCGGATTTCCTGAATTACATGCTTGCTCCAAACTGGGTCAAATCATTTATTTGAACCGTCTTTGGGAAATAATCAAGTCTATCTGTCACATAAGACCAGAGTTGTCCATTGTGTGTATAGTTGTACTGTATAGCTGTAACAAGTTATCCATTCACCATTGAGCCCAATACATTGTTTTTTATATGCAAGATGATTTCACAAAGCTAATCTTTTTCATGCACCAGCTGTTTAAATACGTACACTTCATGTAAATGTTTTCACATGTAAGGTTCACACCTGATTTCATATGTCTTTCCCTGAGGTCAACAGAGGAGGGGAGGAGCCAAGAGCATTTAAAAGTAACTCCAATTTCAGCTCTGAGCAGAGAACTTTAAGAACTTATGGTAAGAAGCCCACTTTGAACTATGTTCTACTAGTATTTGGTCCTTATTTGCCAGTCCGTCCCAGGGCAGCATCTCATCACCAGCCTGTTTGATTTTAGGGTAATTTGAAATGCTTCAACAAATTTGTAATCCACAATAAGTGTAATAATAGTGATGTTTCTGTTTGCAGTGATGCGCTCCCTACTCCTCTGTGTGCTCTGACTGTAACCACAGTAGTATTATAACAGCAGTAGTCAAATCAATAGTAGTAGTAACAGCAGGAGTCATAGAAGCAGTAGTAGTAGTAGTACTTAGCAGTAGCACTGTAATGTTGTGTCTCTTGTGCAGTGATGCGCTCCCTGCTCCTCCTCCTCCTGGGCTCCTCCGTGTGCTGGGGCCATTCTCAGCTCCGGGTCTTTAACCTCAGAGCCATAGGCCTCCCACAGGACTCTCTGGGGATCACAGACGGCTACGTGAAGGTCCACTTTCGCTCCGAGCTCCTGGGTCAGACAGAGGTGTGCAAGAATGAGGCAAACCCCTGGTGGAGAGAGGAGTTCATCTACATCCACCCCAAGCCCTCAGACCCCCTCACTCTGGAGGTCCACGACAAAGACATAATTTGGGACGACATGCTGGGGACCTGCTTCACCCTGGTACGGTGGGGGACGCACCAGAACCAGTGTGCGTTAGAGGAGGGGGGGATGCTCCTCTACGACTACACACTGAGCTAGAGGACGCAGGATGATTCCTTTACAACCTTTAAGTCAAGACGTAGTTTTTTGATTGGTCATTAAAAATATACAAATCTTTTCATATGTTTCCATTCTCTTTAATCAAAGTACAATTGCTTAGCTGTAATTATATGTCTTTAGGAGTTGCGTTCGCGCTCATGGTTAGTGGTCGGGTCATGCCATTTAGTACGTAAGTCATCTTTATTTATATAGCACATTTATTGTCTTTTATTAGATACCTTGAGAACCGTTCAAACCTGTCTGTGGTTCAAAAGTATAAAAAAACAGATGTTGTTGGAGGTCCATGTAGATTAAGAATAAGAAATCCTTTATTCGTCGTACAGTGGGGAAATTTCAGTGTTGCATCAGAAGTTTACAATCAGGAATGAGGAGCATATTCACGTTATTATTCACGAGATTAATGAATAATGACTCTATACTATACTAAAATAAAACCTTGCTAGCAATAAAAGACTGTATACAATCTTTAGCTTTAGCATAAAAAGGAAAGAAGTCTAAAATCCCTACCTTTAGCATGATGAAGAAGCAAGTATAAAAGGTTGTATATTCTAGTGCAAGTAATACAGTTGTGTTTTTTGTTTTTTCAGACAGAATAAGTCAAAGGGTTGTCAACCTGTGATATTAGGGAAAAGACTGTAAAGGTGACATGTTTTCTAATATGAAGACTGCAGGTTTGTAAGACTTCATTGGGGCAAACAAAACACTTCATCGGTAATAATAAAATCTATTAATATTGATAATAAGATTGTGTATTACTTAATAATAATCTGTTTCATATATTTAGCACTTTCCATGACTCTCAAGACTCTTCAAATGGCATTTTTTTCACCTGCATAGTGATGATAAACTACTGTAGCCACAGCTGCCCTGGGGTAGACTGAGAGAAAAGAGGCAACCAATTCCACTCATGCACACACTAGACTCCTATAGGCAATGTGGGTGAAGTGTCTTGCCCAAGGACACAACAACAGTTTGGCACGTTTTACAGCTACAGCTACCATCATACTGACACAGAATACAACCAAAATAGGAGCTTAGAAACATGGCTAACTACTCCACACCTGTATGAATCGTTTTGAACATTATGCAAAGATTCTCCTGCAGATTTGAGGCTAACACGTACATAAACCATGAAAGATTTTATGCTGTCTTTAAAAAATATAAATAATATATACATATATTTGGCTGCTAAAAGTGAAAAGATCTCATAGAAATAGCCAAGTTAAACACAGATACCACATCCACTTTCTTCCCCTTAATCCATTTTTGGGTTGAGGGGTGGCAGTCATAGCTGCACCCAATTCGCAAAGCACCAGCCCCTCACTGATCCTCCTGCAAGTGGTGAATCCACAGGAGGATGGCTGCTGTCAGTGAGTGTAGCCTTGATTTTTTAGCAGGGGCTTCAGGCAAAGTGGGGTTAAGAGTGTCTTGCCCAAGGACACAACGGCAGCAGACATCAGTGGGAGTCAGTGGAGAGGTCTCATGGTGGGCTCGAACCCAAGACCTTCAGGCCCAAAGGCCAATGCTCTACCAGCTGAGCCACTGACGCCCCCGATACCAGGAACAAAAACTTAGTAAGTGAAATGGTTAGGTAACACTTTGGTTACCTCTGAAAATCTGCATTTGTAGTAATTGCACTACACGCTCAAGCTGGAGGATGAAGACCTGATCATGGACGACCTGCTGGGGACCTGCCTGAGCCAAGTCCAAGACGGGACGCACCAGAAGCAGTGTGCGTAAGAGAAGGGAGGAATGCTCTTCTATGACTACACACTGAGCTAGAGGACAATAAAACATGAAAATAGACTAAATGTACAAAAGTATCTTGTTTTTTTGTCTTCTGTCTGCTGCAGACACACGGATGTGCTGTGGAGGTCACATAACTAGACCAGCATAGGACTTCACCTTTGTTAACTTCAGAGGAAAAAGAAGAGACCCACATAAAGAGCCAGGCCTTCATGTTCTCATTGACCAGGGCGTCCACACAATCACATGTTTCTGGTCTCTTGAATTAGTCCAGATAATCAGAGTACCACTATAACCACAGACTATACCTCAGACGGCAGAGTGATATAAAGGCTGATAATGAATGTTACAAGCCAGTGTTGAAGGCATAGACTGGATATATTAACGAAGAGAGTCACGCCTGTCGCCGCCGTTAACTAATGGGCCAAAAACTGTGCTCTACTGGAGTTATCCAAAATGGCCGCGAGTGGTCCCGCCCACAAGAAAATTGTGAAAAAACGCACCTGGGCATGCGTCAGCTGGCGAGAGCTCCATTCATTTGAACGAGAGACTTCAAAAATTCACAGCGAGTAAACTAGAGTGGTCCAAAAAAATTCACCCCCCTCAGCATTGACACACATGTGGAACGAAGCTTTGGGCAAAGAGCCAACTTTTGGTCCATCCTGTGAAGATGTTTTCAAGAGGTCTGCCAATGCTATATGTTAGCATTGGCTAATTCTTATTCCGGGTCCACCTCCATCGGTCCGGGGTGGTATTGCAAGCATGTCAGCACACGTCATTTTGGCCACTTTTGAGCTGGGACCCTCCCCCACTGGTTGGAGGCCATCACAGCCCAACAACTCTTTACAGAAGTATTATTGAGTGAAAACCTAAAACCCACAGGCACATGTTAAACGGAGGCTGTGATCAGGATGAGATATCTTGAATTACATCCTTGCTCCAAGCTGGGTCAGATCACTTCATCTCCATAACATCTTTAACAAGAGTCTTCAGACTGGATGTGTCCCCACCCACTGGATTTCCTCCTGCCTGGTACCCGTTCCCAGGGTAGCAAGGCCAACAGGATGCAGACTACAGACCAGTGGCACTAAAATCTGTCATAATGAAGACTTTTGAGAGGGTAGTACTCTGACCGCTCATGTCGCAGTTTGCCTATCATGAGAACATGGAAGTGGACGACGCTGTCCTCTACATGCTCCATCGGTCTGTGTCCTTCCTGGATGGCCCAGGAGGTTATGTGAGGCTGATGTTCTTCAACTTCTCCAGGGCATTTAACACCATCCAACCTCTCTTACTGACAGAGAAACTGAAGAAGATCGGTATTGATCCCATCTTTACCAACTGGATTTACAATTACCTCACTGTGAGGTCACAGTATGTCAGGTTAGGGAAGAGCATGTCTGGGACTGTTGTGAGCAATACGGGAGCACCACAGGGTACCGTTCTGGCTCCCTTCCTCTTCACAATTTACTCTGCAGACTTTGCACACAACTCTGCTACAAGCCATGTACAGAAATACTCGGACGATACCGCTGTTGTGGCATGTGTGAAGGGCTGGATGAAGCAGAGTGCAGAGAGTTGAATGGTGGTGAAAGGTCAGAGCAGACTCTTCTTCCTGAGAAGACTGAGGTCCTTTGATGTGAGTCAGATGTTGCACATATTACCAGTCTGTCGTAGCTAGTGCAGTGTTCTTTGGGGTCGCGTGTTGGGGCACCAGTCTGACCTCGAGAGACAGTAACCGGCTCGACAGGCTGATCAGGGAATGTGTGTCTGTGATGGGCAGAAGTGTGAGCTGTGGGAGCTGTGCTGGAGAGAAGGATGATGGCTCAAATGCAGGGCATCCTGGGTAACTCCAGACACCCTCTACATGACACTATGTTTAAAGAGATCCTTTGTTCCTTTGGCTCTCAGACTGTACAACAAACCTGGATGAGTCTCAGAGCCATAGGCCTCCCACAGGACTCTCTGGGGATCACAGACGGCTACGTGAAGGTCCACTTCCGCTCTGAGCTCCTGGGTCAGACAGAGGTGCGCATAGATGAGGCAAACCCCTGGTGGAGAGAGGAGTTCATCTACGTCGACCCCAAGCCCTCAGACCCCCTCACTCTGGAGGTCCACGACAATGACAACATCTGGGACGACCTGGTAGGGATCTGCACCACCCTGGTCCAGAGGGGGACGCACCGGAACGGGTGTGTGTTAGAGGAGGGGGGGATGCTCTTCTACGACTACACACTGAGCTAGAGGACGCAGGATGATTCCTTTACAACCTTTAAGTCAAGACGTAGTTTTTTGATTGATGGTCATTAAAAATATACAAATCTTTTCATACGTTTCCATTCTCTTTAATAAATATACAATTTCTTAGCTGTATTTATATGTCTTTAGATGCTTTTCCACTCATGGTTAGTGGGCGGGTTATGCCATTTTTCATCTTTATTTATATAGCACATTTATTGTCTTTTATTAGATGCCTTTAGTAACCGTTCCAACTTGTCTGTGAGTCAAAAGTAGCAAGCTCATGAATTATCCAAAGAGTAATAGGCCAAGTAATCAAATAATACAGTACATAAAATGGCTAAATCTAATCACAATCATAGTATATGTCATCCCTGATTCGACAGAACTTAAACTTGGTCTTGCTTTGAAAATGGAAGACGGCTGTGTTATATAGGAACATGTTATTACTGGATTTCTCTGAATTTGTCCCTTTGATATTCCCCCGTGTGCGGTGACCTCGGCTCACAGATAAACATGTGTTCAGACCAAACGTTTTCACACCTAGTTTGACCAAAACAAGTGACAGGTGGAACAGCACATACAGCACTTCTCGGAGGACAAGGTTTAGTGCTGAGCTTGGAGAAACTAACCCCGATTTTTTCCACAAACAAATCAGCTGCAGACCGATACGAGACGGACAATGTTTTTTTGGTGTCATTATAGATGAAATACAGCTTGTTTTATTCCTGAACTTTTGTACTTGTTTTTGTTTTTTTATGTACTGTCTGGTGCACACTGGGGACTTATGCAAATCTATTCCAATGGGGTTTTACTGCAAATGGAAAATACATTAAAAAAAATCAAAATCAAATAAACAAATATAAGAATGAACCTGAGACTTCAAAAATTATATAATAGTTCAAAAGTGAATGTATTTCTGTAATTTTACTTAACATGAGAATCAAATGTATGCTGTATACACATTGCAGAGTAACATATGTCTTTGACTGTTATTGACAGTCCATTTTCAAAATATAATTTATAATTAATATAATAGTCTAATTTTCTGGGATATTTTTCTGGGAGTTTTTACAAACTGGGATTATCAATTATCAACAATACAACAACTAACAAATTGATAAATCTCACTTTGCGTGTACTAAGTTACATTATAAGTTAAATTACAGAAGTACAGTGACTTGTGTTATATTGTATTTTTCCTCCTGTATCTATTTTCTTTTATCATCATCGTGGGCATTATTTACTGCTTGATTCTTACATTTTTTCAATCTTGAACTGTCAAAGATAATTGTAGAATGTACAATATTTACAACTTTTCACAAATGATCATCAGTCAAATGAATGTTATTTAAAAATTTAATGTTTATTTCAATATTAAAAAAGGCACCAAATACAGGCATCGTCATATCACAAAAACGGTAGCACCAAAAATATACTTTTCATTTCCCCAGTGTTTGAAAAGGCACAAGTTTACAAACAGCAGGTCTCAGTAATGTCCTCTTCGGCACATACACGTACGAGAGGCTAACATATGCACACATACAGAAACATACAAAACAGTGGGGACAATATTAAAATAATAGATAATGTTGTGTCTTTGGGTGAGTTCTGGACACTTTGTAAGGCGAAATGTGCTTAAATGTCCAAAATGATTAGTATTTTTGTATTTTTTATTAGATACAGTATATCTAATTTTACAATCACATGAAAATAAAATATTAATAAAAAAAAGTGGACGTTTTGATTTGAAATTAATGAGCAAATAAAACAAAATTGAGACGAGTTCATCTTGAATAGAAGTCAATGGGAAGTGGAACAAAGCCATTCCCCTCTGGTCATAGGTTTAGTTTCTTAACCTTTATTCTTTCAGTTCCTCTAACTTAAACACACTTGCAGTATCCTTGTGCATACATTTTTAGCAGTGCAACAAATACATCTATGGTGAGCGTTTTGTAATATGCAGATGTCACAATATTCTAATGGTTTGAGTATGTATAGGTTTCATTACATAGTTGCAATATTATGTTTTTATTTCATTGAAAAGTAAAAAGTAAAGCCGCTCATTACACAATATTATAATCTGGTATGGTCATTTTCTCATTTCTCTAAGTATTTAAACAGACAAAATGGATCCTAGTGTGTTGGAACAACTCAATAGCGCCCTCTAGTGCTTATAAAACCACGCATCAGTCCACCGTGATGTTAAGTTAGATTTACTCGTCTTTGTTTAGCCCCTTAGTTGATCTTAAAAATAATTTGTTGTCATCATTATTTGCTTCCCATTGACTTCTCCTCTCAAGGCCTAACTACTGCCTCTGAAATGGCCCTTGGATCTTTACAGCACAAAAAATACTCTTTATGTATTTTACCCCCAGCAGTAAGGCAAAACTTGGTGATGTTTCCTCCCACGTGTGTCGTCTCAGTCGCGAGAATAGGTTTATGCATCATGATAAAGCACGAGAAACGAGAAAACAAAGGAGTAATTGCACTTGGGAGAAGAGTGGCATCGTTTCAGTAGCTACACGCGCCTCCCGTCAGTGTCTTTGAAGAAACGCTTTCTATAAATGTTGAAATGAAGTGAAAAGTGCTCAGTTTCCAGCGATCCAACTGTAGCAGCAAGACGTCTTTGTTACTTTCTTCAAAAGAAGACACATTGTGCTTTTCATATATATTTAGAACATCCATCCTATTGACTAATAAGCCTAGATATGCCATTTTGCCTGGTTTTCAGTAGTTTGACTGTAGAGTAAGATTTGCCAATAGAACCAGCATAATATTACTTCAAAGACAGCAGCAGTTCTTTGTGTTTGTCCTTATCATAGGAAATATTATATGCATGTTCCATTGGCAAATCTGCACAATTCGTTCATCGTATACAGTGTCTTTTTCTGTTGCTTTACAAACTAAAAATGCAGCGTTGTGGTTCCTGAGGTCACGACAAATTCTCTCCATTCCCTTTATACGTTATATATAAAAATACTTGCAAACTTCCCTTTACATGAAAAATACGCCTTTCCTTTTGTTAAACTGGTTCCTCTCAGTTGGATTGTGAGATGTGTCCAAACAGAACTGCAGTAGCATGAGAGAAATATTTACAGTTGTGCTTCGATCTGAAATGTAGGGGGCGCTACACGGCTTCAGGTCATGACTTGGCAAGTAACATGTACAGTAAAAACATGAGGAATTATTTCGAATTATTTGACTTGCAAACGAAAAAATTGTTAAACGTCAGGTTAAAATAAGGAAGAGACGAGCAGATTGAAATAATAATGGGTGATTTTACAATAAGTTTTGTTTAAATGTGTAGAAATTTCCACTTTCAACTCAAATCCACTCCGAGATTAAACTACAACTTATATCATTCTAGATTCAAGTATGACAATTTTCCGAAACGGACCAAGACAAAAGATAAAACTTTGTCTTAAACTTGAAGAGTTTGAGACAAAGTTAGCTGGGCTAATTCACTAATTCTTTCAAAAAACATGATGTTGTTTGTCTGTACAGAGTGAATCTTGTAAAAGTAAAATATGGTTGATAAATCAAACCACAACAGGGATCTTCATCTTAATAAAAACATGATATTGTTTGCATACGTGTAAGAAAGAGCCCTTTGAGTCACTATTTGACACTGCTTGGCTGGGTGAAGGTGGTCCTTTTGAGGGCGGTTCTTATCATTTTACATAAACTCAAAGCCTTCGGTCTAAAGATGTGATAGAGGGTAAAACCGCATGTGAAAACTATAGACAGATACTAACTGTTTTACACCAGGTTCTCATTAAAGATTTGATTGTTGATTGGTTTGAAATGTACGTACTGCAGCTTTTAGAACAAAAACCTGAATTCAAGTCTTTTTAAATCAGGGCTTGTCAAACCGGTTCCAGAAAGGGAACTAAAACCTTGCAGCCACACCGGCCCTTTCTGGAACCGGTTGGACACCCATGGTCTAAATCCACTATACACTGCAAAAAGTGATGAAATATGAGGTAATAATTAAAAAAATCAAGTGCTTCTATATTAATCTGAGCACGATCTGACTGTCTTTAAACAAGATTTTCCAATGGGACATACAGTAGTCATTTAGTCTCATTTCAAGAACTGTTGCTTCATTTTCTCATTCTAAGGGAGAAATTTCTTGCTTCTTTTTAAAACCTACATAATTTAGCTTGTCCCAATGACAAATCTTGTTTTAAGGGAGTCTCAATGTGCTCAGATTAAGAGACATTTGGGCAAATTTGAGCTAATTTTGACTTATTTTTCATCACTTTTGCAGTGTAAGTCCACATGTTTTGCCAGGACACGCCTTCCGCCAGTGTACGCAGACTCAGACGGGTGTGAAAAAAAAAACAGCTTGAAGGACAGCGGCGCTGAGCCTCAGACTTCGGTGCCCTCGCTCAGGTTGTTCCGCAGCCTCACCTCCAGGTTCACCTGTTTGACCCTGGCAGGCGGGGACGCGGGCTCCTGGTTGCGGTGGAGCAGGTTGACGTTGCGCACCGTGCCGTAGTTGTTTCCGAAGTTCTTCTCCACGCACTTATCCAGACAAACCTCCACTTTGGTGTTGAGCGGGTATTCCTCCAGGGGCTTCTGCAGACCGCACACTCGCTGCAGCGACACACGAGGAGAGAGGGTTACTTTGCATCTCGGTTCCAAGACCTTTTTAAGACCATTCATAAAAGTGATGAAAGAATACCAAATAAGTTATTGAACGTAACAGTGTTAATCATAATTTTAGCATCTCTTCCTGGGAGTTACCTTTAACACAGCACAAAAACTAAGAAAATAGTAAAGTGGACTGATATATTTTTATTGTAAATAAAGATAATTTCATTTAATATTTTAAACAAGAATACCAGAAGTAAGATTTACCAATAGAATAAACTAATTTGATCACATTTTAGGCGAACAAAATTGAATAAAGTTTGTTGTGTGACATTTTAGTAAACTAATAAGTGATTAAAACTAATAATAAGAGCAAATAAAATCTTAACAATTCAATCCACCTGAAACAGTACAAACTCTGTATTACATGTGACTCTGTATCAAATATACTTATTGCTGCTTCTGCTTTTATTCAAACAAATGTGTGATGTTGTTTGTACAAAAAGTAATAATTCAGCTAAAACCCGGCTAAATTGCATTTGAATGGCATTTACTTTTCTTTCTTAAGCTGTGTTACTTGCCGTTTCCCAAAGACAATTCTCCCATAAGAAGAACAAACAGGTGTATATTCTAGATCTCACCTCATTACTCTTTTTGAGTGCATGCTTCTTCCTGCAGCGTCGCACCACGAAACACGCCACCAGCAGCAGCACGGCCACCACACACACAGCCGCCACGCTGCCGCCCACAGATCTGCCCACGTGCGCCGTGTAGGACGCCGACGGCATCACGGCCAGCCGCAGCGACTTCATGTTGGTGCCGTTCTTCACCGCGTCTCCCTCGTTGTCGTAGATGAGCGACTCGTCCAGGGGCAGTCTGGCCAAGTCCCGTCTGGGTCTGGGTCGGGTCTGCGGGACGAGGAGGGAGGTGACAGAGCGCTGGACTCTGGAGCCGGTGCGGGAGTCCGGGGAGATGACGTAGATGACCTGGAGGTACCACTGATGCCCCGCCTCCACCTGCAAACACCATAGATTATACATAAGATAAAGTAAGATAAAGTTTTTATTCAGGGAGATTTCAGCAGATGGACGGAGATTTTTTGGTATTTTTTTTATTCTTTGAGGGATATTATAAATGTAGAAAACTGCAAAATATTTATTTTCCCTTGTTTCCCCCATGTGTCAGGCACCACCATGCAAAACTCTAGGTTGATATGACAACGTATGTGGTTTTATTTTGCAAAAGGCGGACCCCAAAAACTGGGTTTTTAGCCCCTGAGACCGAGCTGGTATAGTGGGCCCACAGCAGGATAAAAGGAGGAAATAAGAGCACTCAGGTTGCACACATCAAACAGGATCTATTTTTTTTTAAGATAATAAATAATACAATAGAATGATAAAAATAATAAAATAAAACTCTGGGGCTATAATTTCACTTGGTTCAAGGATAAGTTACATGTGGAGTATACACTGTAGTCAGCAGCATCAGGAGGTATTTATACATGGTTGTACTTTAGCAGCAGATATGACCAGAATAAACAATAGAATTAATAACAGCAGGTGAAGTGACCAAAGGATTATCAGAACAGAATTATCAGATGAATGGAATACGCAATAAAGTAATAATAGGTAAAAAATAAAAATAAAAACTATGGTCAGAGGAGACGAAACTGACTAAACCAAGAGGTAGATTTGTTGCTCTCTCTCTGGCCTCCTTTTGCTCAACTTAAAGACATTATAGAAAAATTAGAGCCACTTCACTCTCTAGTCTTGTTACACATGGTGTATTTTTGTACAGTCTATTCTTTATTTCTATCTATGGTTCTACAATCTTGATAAATAATGTAATATGTCAGTATCCCAGAGTTGGGGCGACAGTAGCTCAGTTGGTAGAGCATTGGCCTTTGGGCCTGGAGGTCGTGAGTTCGATTCCCACCATGGGACCTACTCCAACTGCTCCCACTGATGTCTGCTGTCGTTGTGTCCTTGGGCAAGACACTTAACCCCACGTTGCCTGAAGCCCCCCGCTGAAAGATCAAGGCGGTTTCTCAACTGATGGAGCAGCCATCTTCCTGTGGACTCACCCCCTGCAGAAGATCAGCGAGGGACTGGTGCTATGAGCATTGGGTGGCTTTCATTGCCACCCCCCTGACCCAGAAATGGACAAATAAAAGGGGTTGAAAAAAAAAAAAAATGGGTACCTTGTATTCTCTTTAGGGTATTTAGTGTTAAACTGTACAATATACTTGTCATTTTGTTCACTAATGCAAAAAGTACTAGTTAAACCTTATGGGAAAGTTAAAAACCCTTTTGGATTATGTTCAATGATGCTGATTGTAGAAGTTTGAGTTTTGTGCAACATGTTTCCATCGTTGGTATAAGATAAACTGTATCAAGTGAACATTTTAATCTACACATGTTTTTAATATATTTTTTCATTTATTGTACAATTTACAAGATCTTTGAAATCACGTGATCTACGATCTAATGTTCATAACGGCCTGAGAAATAAACTAATACAAAAAACTACAACTAAAAATCGATTGATTGTTTTGTTTGTGTGTTTTACTTACCAAACTAGCTCATGAATGGATGACCGAAAGCAAGACAACAAAGTAATCACTCTAGGGATGGGTAAAGATTGAGTATTGGGATTAAGGATAAGATTTAATGAAATTGAAAGGAAATATGTCTGATGGTTTTGTCGGGATAATAAGTGTAGATCATAGTCTTACAACAATCGAGGCTATGGCAAAGTGGCAAAAAGAAAACAGATCAAACTTGTGAAGCACAGCCCGGTCCTGACCTTATACAGAGCGTCCACCTTCATGGTGAAGCCGTCCACGCCGGGCATCGAGCTCATGGACTGCAGCTCTGGGACGTCAGACGCAAAGTGAGCGTCGAAGGGGACATCGTGGAAGTAGCCGTCGCACACCTCTGGCTGCTTACGGTCCTGGACACACACAACAACATAAGACCACTTTGATAGATTCAAGTAACAATGGAGTGTGATGTGTGTATTTTGTGGTTGCCTCTGAGTTCAAGACTAATTCCCTCTGGTACAAAAAAGTTCTTTTGAATCTTGCGCTATTATGGATCGGTTACAAGCATTTTTCAAGCATTTAAAGATCATGAAACTAGTACAATAATTGAGGTTTATAGAGTTTAGAGCAAAATATTGACCATGCTACACCATTCATTCCTCAGGAGATGTTTTCAGATCCATCCGAGATAATATTAGGAACTCAACATGCCACAAACACATAATCCCTTCGATCTAAAAGCGCTTGTAATTTGTGCGAGATCATTCAGAAGAAAAATCTTGTTGGTCATTTTTATGGAAAAGTTCCGGACACTGAGACAGAGGGCACTGAATCCAGAGCAGAAATTATTTGTTGCTTGGACCATCGTCTCCTTTTTGCACTAGTGTGTATGAGCCCTGTGTATGTACTAGTTTGTATGTCCTCCTGTAGACTCACCACCTGCAGGAGGATCAGTGAGGGGCTGGTGCTATATGTACTGGGTGGCATCTCTGGCCACCCCCCCGACCCAGAAATGGGGAAGAAAATGGATGGATGGATGTATGAGCCCATGTGGACTCGGGAATTGTGTGCAGTTAAAACAATTACATATCAATATTTCATTCATGTACAGTAATTGTCCTGGTGTGACATCAAGCTCAGCATTTTTCTGAATTAAAATAGAGCCTATATACAAGTTTTGGCAATTTCTCAGGTGAGAGGATGTTTGATGGCTGTGTTTGTAGACAATCAATTCCAATTTTGAAAACCAAAAAAATTCAAGAAGGCAGAACGCTTTTTTTATTTTTAATACTTTAGTTACCATTTAAAAAAAAAAAATATATATATATATATATATAATTTCACATTCTTAAACATGAAATGACAAAACAAAAAATCTCACTATGTATTATTTTTTAGCCAAGTGATGTTGTTTCTTCTTTAACTCATCCAAAATGAACAAAATATGAGATCTGAGTTTTTTCAAATCCTTTAGAAATATTTGTGCATTAAAAAAGTGAAGTGTTTGGCAAAATGACAGGTGAGGTGCGTACCAGCAGCAGGAAGCGGTACTTGAGGTGCTTGTTGGGTTGGATGCAGCCGTATTGGGGGCCCTCGTTGTACAGTGTCCCGGTGGGGTCAAAGAAAGGCACATATCCGTCTCGTCCCGTGCACAGGTAGACCTTCTCTAGCTGCAGTCTGTACGCAGCGTTCAGGTTCTGATCCGGGTTCCACAGCACTCTGCCGTACAGTGTCTGGCCTGCAGGGGGAGCCCCAAGACAGTGTCATTAAACAGCTATTATGATTAGCCATTCTTTGTGTTCATTTTGGTCTTTCCACAGAAGTTTACATACAGCAAAAATCCCATGCTCAAAACTTTGTGGTTTTACCAATAGTAGATTTAAAAAACACATGATAAATACATTTTCCAATTAATATGATCCCAAGTGCTTACAAAAAATAACATCTTGAATTGAATTGCAGATATTTTTGGTAATATTATCTGCTAGGAGTTGGTCTCGCAAAATAAGGTGCAAATGAACCCATTTTTTTTAAAAATTCTGTTTTTAAAATAAAAAATGCAGCTTATGTTTGTCAGCTGATCTTTCTGCTAACAGAACAGACAGATGCTATGACTGTATTTGAATCAAGAGTTAAGGATTAGTTAATAATTTACTCTTATAAGTATGTTATGTTCATTCAGAATTCTAAACAGGTCAGATTTCTCCAACAACACTTTTAACTTCTTGCAAAGTGGCAACCCTTAGAGAAGACTCCTTTGTAGTCCTTTTGAAATGTGTACAAAATAATTGATTATTTCACTGTCAATCAACATGAGGTTGGATATTATTTTCTGGTATTTATTCTGAACAAAATGATTTAAGTAACTTCTTGTATGGATTGAACCAAAACTGGATCAATGGTGAAGAAGGATGGTTGTTGTAGACTAAAATGCCAATGTTTTTTTTTGTTTAACTATCTAAATACAAGGGCTAAGACTTCAGAATGAATCATTTGTCTCGTGTCTGACACAGGTGTCTTTCCTGTTGAAACAGTGAGTGTGCTCGTACCCATGGAGAAGGCTCCTTTGTAGTCCATCTCGTTGACAGAGACGTCGTTACTGCTCGGCTTCAGCAGAAACACCTTGTCGTTGTTACAGAGCTGGAACTCTGTGTTGAGCGAGTAAACCACAGGCACAGGGCGGTTCGTCTGCTGGAACGCTATGGGCACCAAGAACCTGCACAACACACAAAACATGAGCCACGACAAACAACATGAGCCACACACAACAACATGAGCCACACAATGTTCTGTTGCATTATAAATGTAATTAGTAGTCTCATTTTCCTTTTTTACACACTACTACTAAGTATCTCAATGAGGTCTAAACCAAATCTTAAATAGGATAATGTTATTTCTATAGTGGGGCAAAATGAGGAGCTTAAAAAGCAGACATTGTATTTTGAGGTATTTCTCAATTTGAAGCGATACATGAGGTGGTTAATTGTCGTAGCATGTCTGGCCTCATGTTTCACAAATAATAAAGTGTTTTCCAGTGTGATCGTACTTCTCTGGTGCGTGTGCAGTGCAGGACAGGGGCTTGTCTCCGGGGTCGATCCACGGCTGAGTGGGCTGAACTGTGCAGGGGATCAGGAACACTGTGTACTCCCCCGAATAGTCCTTCCTGTTTCCCAAAAGTACTCAGTGTTATTAGGTGCTCAAGTCAGAACAGTGCTTAGAATTACAAGTTCTTCAAGACTATTGTGTTCAGATATTCTACAATCACAGATGCAAATAGCATCCATTTATTACATACTGTATATTAAATAAAACATAAACGTCCACATTTAAACATGAGGAGGTAATTTTATTTTGCCAATGCACAAATGCCCAAACATGCCCCGGATCATCCTTGTCCTTAAACCCTACTGCATCAGCAAGGATCAAAAATCTGGGAATATAATTTGAGAAACCTCAGCGAGGCCCATATTGAGAGAGGGATCCGCTCCCACGGACAGACTATAGATCTAGAACTTAGGCTGTAGATCCAGGACTGAAGAGGCTCCCAGGCGGTGAGGCGGGTGCATTAAATAAAACTTAATACAAAAGCCAGAAACTGCAGGACAACGCAGGATAACTGTCTGAAAGAATGGCTCACATTTATACATTGGGTTGTCATTAGGGCAGTGATAAATAATTATTTTGACAATTGATTTATAGGCTTCTTTTGGATAAGCAATTAGTTGCTTAGATCCCAAAGGTCAGTGAATATAGGATTTTTAAACACATTTTATCAAAACAAAGTGATGCCGCTGGAGAACATGTGTAATAGACTTGTTACACATTGGGTTGTTTCATAAAAAAATACTCTATAAACACATTTTAATCTGCAGTTATAATACAATTAATTAAATCATGTTAATCTCATATTAAAGTCTATGGAGGCTTCAAAAATCGATTAATTGATTAGGAATATAGTTTACAAATATTTCAATACTTGATTAGTGGTGCTTAATCTGATGAAGTTACAGCCCTAACCTACAGTTATGTATGTTTGTTAAGTGTGGCATTTCATGTTTAAACTCATGTTATTGAATTGACTTATGTGTCATCTTTCGTTCACAGTCACATCTCACATGACATAAACATAGTCCAATGGGATGAGTCGTTGAGCCTGTGCTCAGTCTCTCTGAGGGGAGGGCCTGTTGCAGTAGAGTGGTCTCTGACCTGCTGTAGGAGCTGCTGGCTCTCCACAGCTGATAGGGAGAGTCAAAGCTCTGGGCGCTCCACAGCAGCTGCAGGTCAAACTCCATCCCCCCCAAATGGTCCGGGGCCATCACCCGAGACTTGTGGCCGGGGAGGGTGTGGTGGTTTGGCACAAACTGGCCTGCAAGGAGGGGAGGGTGTGTTACAATGTGATGTACCATTTTGATTTACACATCAAAGATAGGAAAATTATATGACGATGTAGATTATACAATATTGAAATGAATTGCCGCCTCCTCATTCTGCAAGAGATAAGCCACGTCACCTCTGAACTTGGCATGTGTCTTGAACTCAATGACCAGGCGTCCGTCGTCTCTGATGTAGATTCTGATGATCTGGAGTCGCGCTGAGAGCACGCTGTCCGTCTGGATTCCTGCAAACACAACACTGAGATTGTTAACAAGCGAACCGGGAGCTGGGGACACTGCTCAAACAACTTAATCAAGTCCTGATCTAGACACAAAGTAATTCTTCTGGTAAAGAATCAAAGATCTATGCCTAAAAAAGATGTACATGTACATGTGTCTCCATATGGGAGGTGAACAGTATACTGTACAGTGGGCCCTCATTTATCGCAAGGGTTGCGTTATTGTATAACGCACAATGAGCAAAATCTGCATAGCAGAAGCTCTCTATTTGACACACACTTATACACTTTTCTAACCACCTGAACTCACAAATGCTGAAGTGTGATCGTAGGGATATCAAACCTGTTGGATGCAGGTCTGAGCGCTGCTGCAGCTGTCAAAATCCATGCATACACTGTAAAATACAGCTGCAGAGGACACCAAGCTGAGGGGCAGGAGGAGGACTATGGGGAGACCGTGGGAGTCCTCTGAACTAATTCTCATGGTTTTCATGTTGACTAATCAATCAGTAAGGACCTCACATGTTTTCACCTCTATTGTCTGTTTGGTTTTACACTGGAAACGCAGTGTGGTTTTACACTGGAAACACATGCGTGGTGCCCTGCCCTTTCATGGTCCTTCTTTTAAATTAATTCTCTCGGCCAAACCAAGGTATCTCATGGCAACAATGGGCTATGACATTTGTGGACATTGCCTATTAGGAACTCTTCACAGCATACATCATGGTGCTAAGGAGAGCTCCAGTTTAATGTATTTTGTTTGCAGTCCTGTCCTGTCCTGTGTGCGGGTTTGTGCATGCTTTTGTTCTCCATACACTTAACATGGGGCATTAACTGTAAAGAGCAAGCATCTGGCTACATTTTGACAAACTCCAAAATTTTCAGTGTGGGGGCATATTTTATATGTTTAATGTTGAAGACGATGAGCACCTGTCCTCCAGAGCACAGTGTCGTAGAAGAAAGAGAACTCCATCTCAGTGTGGTGCTCCAGAGAGGCCCAGCCGCGAGGAGCCGTCACGTAGATATAAGACACGTAGAGAGGAACTTGGACCGTGAGGAAGGACTGAGCCGAGTCCCGCACCTGGAACAAACCACACATACCATAGCAACCAACATGAGCACAGCTAGTGTAGCATGTAAGGCAAAGCAAGGCAAGTTTATCTGTATAGTGCAGTTCATACACAAGGCAACTCAAGGCAAAGTGCCTAACGAAAAAAAAAATCATAGAGGTAAAGATAAAAATTTTCAGTTGTATGCCCAGCTAAAATAACTATTTTTAACCTGAATTTGAACATTGTCAGAGAAGAAAAACATTTTCAGAGAGACTGTTCCAGATTTTAGGTGAATTAATCTGAAACACTGCCCCCCCATGTTTCGTCCCTGTGCTCCTCAGAGTCTGAGTTGGTTCAAATGGCACCAACATTCAAATGTACAGTATTTTTGTGTTCGAACTTGCACATCTCAGGGTGCACATCACGGTCAGGTCTGAAAGCTAAATACAGACCCAAAGGAATTCACAAAACAAAATTATCAAGTCGTGTCTGTCAGTGATGAACCGCAGAGCTAAGTGGTTTTCAGATGCAACTAGCCAAAAGAGACAACTGCTGGAGCTGGAGGCAAGTCGAGCTGGTTTCTCATTAGTTCAAATAACTCTTCAACCCCTCCCTGGAATTGTAAAGAGTATATAAGGAACTTCTGAGATAATGTAAGCTCAGACAGGTTGCCTGCGCTGTCCGAGCCTGATGTCTGTATCCACTATGTGACAAAAATACCTCTACTCACAAACCACGAGTTGAGTATTTGTTCTTATTACACGGCTCCTCACAGCAGCAGTAGAACGCTCCATTGAATTTTGAATGTACTTTCAAAACGTTCTACTGGTCATTATTTCTTGATAACTGACCTCTCAAAACAATAATGACCGCTGCCCATGGCAACGCACCCTCTGCTTGTAATTCAGATGTGTAGATTACTCCGCAAGTAGTTCCGGCCACTCCGGAGCTAGCCACACTCAATCGCAAATACCAATCAATCAACACGGAGAATACATTATACATATACAGTGCCTTGTGAAAGTATTCGGCCCCCATGAACCTTTCAACATTTCGCCACATTTCAGGCTTCAAACATAAAGATATAAAACTTAAATTTGTTGTCAAGAATCAACAACAAGTGGGACACAATCGTGAAGTGGAACGAAATTTATTGGATAATTTTAACTTTTTTAACAAATAAAAAACTGAAAAGTGGGGCGTGCAATATTATTCGGCCCCCTTGCGCTAATACTTTGTAGCGCCACCTTTTGCTACAATTACAGCTGCAATTCGCTTGGGGTATGTCTCTATCAGTTTTGCACATCGAGAGACTGGAATTCTTGCCCATTCTTCCTTGCAAAACAGCTCGAGCTCAGTGAGGTTGGATGGAGAGCGTTTGTGAACAGCAGTCTTCAGCTCTTTCCACAGATTCTCGATTGGATTCAGGTCTGGACTTTGACTTGGCCATTCTAACACCTGGATACGTCTATTTGTGAACCATTCCATTGTAGATTTGGCTTTATGTTTTGGATCATTGTCCTGTTGGAAGATAAATCTCCGTCCCAGTCTCAGGTCTTTTGCAGACTCCAACAGGTTTTCTTCCAGAATGGTCCTGTATTTGGCTCCATCCATCTTCCCATCAATTTTAGCCATCTTCCCTGTCCCTGCTGAAGAAAAGCAAGCCCAAACCATGATGCTGCCACCACCATGTTTGACAGTGGGGATGGTGTGTTCAGGGTGATGAGCTGTGTTGCTTTTACGCCAAACATATCGTTTTGCATTGTGGCCAAAAAGTTCGATTTTGGTTTCATCTGACCAGGGCACCTTCTTCCACATGTTTGGTGTGTCTCCCAGGTGGCTTGTGGCAAACTTTAAACGAGACTTTTTATGGATATCTTTGAGAAATGGCTTTCTTCTTGCCACTCTTCCATAAAGGCCAGATTTGTGCAGTGCACGACTGATTGTTGTCCTATGGACAGACTCTCCCACCTCAGCTGTAGTTATCTGCAGTTCATCCAGAGTGATCATGGGCCTCTTGGCTGCATCTCTGATCAGTCTTCTCCTTGTTTGAGATTAAAGTTTGGAGGGACGGCCGGGTCTTGGTAGATTTGCAGTGGTCTGATACTCCTTCCATTTCAATATAATTGCTTGCACAGTGCTCCTTGAGATGTTTAAAGCTTGGGAAATCTTTTTGTATCCAAATCCGGTTTTAAACTTCTCCACAACAGTATCTCGGACCTGCCTGGTGTGTTCCTTTGTCTTCATGGTTCTCTCTGCGCTTTAAACAGAACCCTGAGACTATCAAAGAGCAGGTGCATTTATACGGAGACTTGTTTACTATGGAAGCCCGTTTCCGCCATGTAAAAAAAAAAAAAAGCCTACAGAAAGTCAAAATTTCGACTTTAAAAGTCAAAATTATGAGTTTTCAACTGCGCATGTGCAGTTGAAAACTCGTGTGTGTTGTTGTCTGGAACGGTCTCTGGACGTCCTTCACCTGCAGATTATGTGAAGATATTGCTGACAGCGACCACTGCATCCTTGAAGTAGCCAGAAATAATGTTGTTTGATTGATTCTGTAAAACGTTCCTGTTTAAGCCCCAGACCGCGGTCGTAGGAGGCAGGGAGGAGCTGTCTTTTTATTTATTTATGTTAAATTCAATTTACATATATACAGCATTTAAATCAAACGACTTCTTATTTCGACATAGTAACAAATAATGTGAGCAATACGTTTTTATAATAAATCAAAGGAAAATGAGCCATCGAGACATTCCAATCCAATCTGCTATAGACCACTCTGACCAGACGATGGCGCTGAGAGGGGTCCACACGGAGCGAGTATTTCCACGGCTGAAAGGATGCGCTTTCTACGTGTTGAGTACGGGGTTTTATTCATGCATCTATAATGGGTTTATCTATTTCTAACCCTTTTCAAAGACCCTCACTGTTATCTGCGGAGTTGTTTCTCCGGATTGTTGCTAAAAGAGTCGTGGGCTTTATTTTGTCACAATAAAATAATCAGACAAGGTACTTATTCCCTGTATGTCTCTGTGTTCTTGTGTTCTATACGCCAACATACGCCAACATACGCAACAACTTTACCCGCACGCTCGCTCCATCAGCTCACCCCCGCATGCACGCAAACACGTCACATACTCTTCAATGCACTGATCGCAATTCCAAAAGGGTATTATTGTCAGTGCCCGTGACTGTGGTTCTCCTGCCTCTGTCTGTGGTTCTCCTGCCTCTGTCTGCGGACCTCCCTCACTGTCCTGTAATCGCGAACGGTCTCTCTGTCAGTCACAATATTATTCACTGCATTTCTGGTGCATCCATCGATAGCCGTGATACTGACCAGATGTCACCAGTTGATGCTCAATAACTTTGAACAGCCACATGTGTTTTATTATTAATCTTCCACAGTCCGTTTAGGATAAACTAAATAGAGGCTTCTGAAGCGGATTCTAATCATAAACGGAGAGACCGTTTGCATTTTAACGCGATTACTACCACAACATTATTGCTGCTACTTCATGGATGTGGTCACTGTCTGTAGGCAAAATCTTCACATAATCTGCAGGTAGAGGATGACCCATGGTCATGGATCTATAACAGGGATGACCAGAGACCGTTCCAGACAACAACACATACGAGTTTTCAACTGCACATGCGCAGTTGAAAACTCGTAATTTTGACTTTTAAAGTCAAAATTTTGACTTTCTGTAGGCTTTTTTTTTTTTTTACATGGCGGAAACGGGCTTCCATAGTTTACACACAGGTGCATTCTATTTATCATCATCAGTCATTTAGGACAACATTGGATCATTCAAAGATCCTCACTGAACAGCAAACTGAGTGAGTTTGATGCACTGAAAGTAAAGGGGCCGAATAATATTGCACGCCCCACTTTTCAGTTTTTTATTTGTTAAAAAAGTTTAAGTTATCCAATAAATTTTGTTCCACTTCACGATTGTGTCCCACTTGTTGTTAATTCATGACAAAAATTTAAAAATATATATATATTTATGTTTGAAGCCTGAAATGAAATTTTGCCACAATTTTTGAAAGGCACTTTTGCAAGGCACTGTACATTCTTAATACACATGCACGGAGGTTTTCAGACGTATCTGTTAAGGTTTTTATGACAAAAATACTGTTTTAATGCGAGAAAAAGCGATCGCAAAAAAAACGGAAGTAGATTCCGGGACATTTTAGGACACATTTGCAGAGGATCGAATTATGGATTTAGGTTAGGTTTATGTTTGTGTCACTCACCGCTGATGTTCAGAATTATTTGTTCAGTTTTCATGCGGTTCGAGAGAGTTCTAGTTTGGAAGTTGCTAGCCTAACTGTTACTCGCATAGCTACGGGAAAGCCTTTGGGAAATATTTTATTTTCTGTCATTAAATAAACTTTTCGGCATTCCTAAGAGTGGACTGAAGTTTATGTTGTGTGTTCTGTTGGTATAAAGCCGTATAATAAGCGGCATAATGTATATTACACAGGTCATTATTGGAAAATAAGTACCTTCAGGGCGGAAGCAGACCCCGACGCCCCCTGTCTGTACTTATTATCCGATAATATACATTATTATTTCTCTGACTCATTATGTACATCTCATTGTCGCAGCTTTATTGGCTGTGATTATTCTAGTTTCCATGACCTAAATCATCATTCATGATTTTAGCTAGTCAGGAGTCAGCACAGAAGTTTAGATTCATGCCGCAAAAAAACTACTTTTTAATACCGGTTAAAATAGTCCTCTTTATTGGTTCGTAGGACAGTTTATTAACTTGACCTGATATTATTATTACTAAATTATTACATTAATAATTCATTAGTCACTTAACCTGCTGCTAGTATTATCACTATTATTATTATGATTATGATTACTATTATCATTGTTTATTCCAGTCATATTCTCAACTGCTAAAGTCTAATATAAACATCTGTAAATACCTCCTGCTGACTACAGTGTACTGTATGCTCCTAAAGTGACTTATCCTTGAACCACGAGTTATTATAGCTCCAGATCTTATTTAATTATCTATTATCTTAAATAATAGATTTTGTTTGATGTGTGTAACCTGAGTGCTCTTAATTTCTCCTTGTATTCTGCTGTGATGCGCAACAATGATATTGAAAATACCACACAGGGAGGAATAAAAGTTTATCTGATTTGATATTATCTTAAACGCTTCCTTTCTTGCTGGGTCCGCACCTGAAAGTCTGCGGTGACGGAGCCTCCACAGACGTCGATGAGCTCGGTCATGTCGTAGAAGGCGTCAAAGGTCCAGATGCAGCTCTTCAGATTCAGGTGCTTGTACAGCTGCAGGGTCCTAGGCTCCCGAACGCTGGGGTTGAACTGGAAGGGTCTGTCAAACCCAGGGCCCAGAGTGATGCTGTCGTACGAGACGTCGTCCAGGAAACCAGACTCTGAGGATGGAGTGAATATGACAATAATCAGCCCAATATATATCCTTAAAAAATACAAAATAAACAGAACAGTTTGAAAAGGGTAATGACGAAGTGCTGTGTATACAATCAGACAAGCTCCTTTGTTGAGTAGATAGTTGCTGGATCAACATCAGCTGCACTTTCAGATCCATAAAAAGAAAAGCTGTGAGCACCTGTCAGCAGGGCGCATTCAGGGGGAAAAAACTTTCCTGCTCAAGACTTCATAACTAAACTTATAATGAGTCCAACTCAACAAAGTAAGAGTAATTTTTTTATGTGCACACAGCTAAATGCAGTTAATTGACAGTTATTGACTATAAGAACAATCTAATCTTGTGTTAATGTTTTTAGCTGATGTCTTCAAATCTTGCTCAGTGACTACAGTGAATAGATACAGTATGTCCCAGAGGTTTCTTTCACTTTTTTGTTGTTCCTTACAGATGCTGGAGAGTCTATGGACAGCGATAATCCAGGACAGTTAAGGGCATTAATTAACTTTTTTAGGCATTGGTCATCCTCATTGCATTTGTCTGTATTGTATTTCCTGTGTTTAAACTGTTTGACACTCGGATCTCTGTTGCTGGAAAATCAACAACTTTGTTAAGTCCTCTGAGACTTGGGGCTATTTTGAACTTGATATTCTAAATGAATTGAATTGACATTACGTTCTCATCTATGTCCCCCATGACTTTTAATAAAAATCTAAAGTTCATATGAAATGTTGAGGTAAAATTATGTAATAGAATAATGTATTCATTAATGTGTGCATTTGACCCACCCTGATGCCACTAAGGCTTACATCAGGAGCAGTGGTCGCTATAGTACAGCGCCCACAGTTGGAGGATTTTACCTGATGTGCATGTTTTTAGTGATAGGGGAAACCGGAGCACCCGGAGGAAACAGACGCAGGCACAGGGAGAACATGCAAACTCAGGTTGCGTATTAAGTTATTTTGTGGTGCTCTCTTTGATTTTCCTCTAACTTTAGCATGATGAAGAAGCAAGAATTACGAACAAAATCTATGACTTTAGCATAATGAGGAGCAAGTATAAAAACCGGTATATATTGCAGTGCAAGTAAAATATAGTTGTGTTTTTACATCTGTATATGTAAGCAGCATGAGGGTCTGGGACAAAGTGACTCAGTAAAGTGACGGTGGCACATGTGGTCCATATTTCACATTCTGATGTTAGTTCAAGATACCAAAATCAAAAACAGCTAATAAAGAAATAAAGAGATTGTGAGTGTGAGTTTACCAGTGATGCCCTGCAAGTCGGTGAGTGTGACCAGGTTGGAGCAGACGTGCTGCTGTCGGTAGATGGACTCCGAAAGCAGGAAGTGCAGGTTGTGAAGGGGCATAGTGGACACAAGGGGCAGCATTCCGTCCTGATGAGGAATCTGCACCGAGATGTGGATCCTGCAAACATCAAGAAGTCAAGAAATCGAAAATATACTGTATATGAGGTTATAAAAGACTCAAACAGCACTGGTCCTGCTGACTCTCACCTGTTGGGATGCTCCTTGTGCTTTACATCCAGATACTTGAGCGTGGCAATGAAGGACTGTGCCTGGAAGCCCCGTGCCGTTCCCGTGGTAACAGGCGTGTGGCAGATGGCTCCTTCCGTTCCGATGGTGGCGATATTGCTTCTCAGAGGAGTTCCCAAATGTCCAGCTTTATCACGTGCTTGAGCCACACAACGCACGTGGAACCGCCGCGAGAAGTAGATACTGTCCAACACCTGGGACGAGACCAGGAATAGTATATATTGAGATGAAGAGATCCTTTATTCGTCCCACCGTGGGGAAATTTCAGTGTTGCATCACCGGTTACAGAACAGTAGGAATGAGGAGCACACAGCTCAACTCTATACTAAAAAAGAATCTCTAGCTTTAGCATAATAAAGATGTATGAAATCTCTATTATATTCTAGTGCAAAAAATATATAGTTGCACGAAAAACATTTGTACATTTTAGCAGCAGGAGGATCTGGGACTCAGATGAGTACCAGGAGATGGTGTTTTGTCGCGTGGTTCTTAATCAAGATTTTATACTTGCTTCTTTTTAATGCTAAAGTTTAGACCAGTTCAGATAATCCACTTGATCCAAGTCAAATAATGACTCACAGGGCTCTTCCTTAAAAAATGCAAAACAAAACAAAAATCAAAAAAATTTTCTGTTTGATTTGTTCGCAGCATTTTACTTTTGGGCACAACCAACATTATTATGCATTATTAATGCAAGGGAAACTGTAGGTACCACAGCTTTAATTTAGAGACACGGGAAGGACATGGACACTCCCTCAAGGCTCCATAGTCCAGCTCTGTTTCTTGCAGTAACGCAATATGTATTTATTTATTTTGCATTACGCAAAGACACACACTTGCAACAAGCAGAGAATGGTCCACACTGGGTACATTACATATATTATATTACATTCTGTTTACACGTGAGAAAGAAACTGACACAGACTGAAGAGACATAAGCAATTTACTCTCTCAAGCTCAAATTGAACTTGGCCAGTGTTTTCCTCACCATGTGGTTGACGCTGGTGTATGGTGTGGTATCCGTCACAGTCTCAAAGGGAGACCTGGCCCCGCTGGCGTCTGTGGGAGCAGCCACTTCCCAGGAGAAGTGCACTTGGCTCTGGTTGATGCCCGCCTCGTCGCAGAGCTCCTTCATCACAGAGTACTTGGGGTAGTGTGGGTCGCAGGGAGTCACACACACCAGCGGGTACCCAGGAGATGGGCCCTTCTTACTGCCTTCTTTAGTCACCTCTGCTACATGGTCGTAGTCCACTAATGAAACCACCTAAAACCAAAGGTACAATAAATATTACGTAATGATATGTCTTTTAATCACAGAGCCACGTTTACATGGTCAGATATTTTGGTAACCTAAAGGGAGCTAGAGATGTAAATGTGAACACATGTAAATGTGGTTACTCCTCAGTAAAAGTTTAATAAATAACTAAATTGCACATGCATCAACAGAATTATGATTCTAAAAAGTAAAACTAGGTTTTTATTTGCAGATGCAGGAGGGTGTAAGGACAGCGGCGATAATCCAGGATATTCAGCATTCAGCGACATTTATTAACTTTATCAACATTGTATATTTATCATTGCAGTTCCTGTGTTTGAACTGTTTGATCCAATGATCTGTATAAGATAAGATAAGAGAAGACAAGATAGACTTTATTGATCTCCCACAGGAGTAATTTACATGTCACATCTGGCATTAAATAACTACCACCGAGATAACTATCTTTGAGATTTAGGGTCTTAAAATGAATTGAATTGAATTGAAAAGAAAAAAAACAGCACAAAACAGTCCCCAAAGGCGCTATTCTGCAAAATCTGTGATTTATAATAGAAATACTTGACAAAACAGTGAGCACCATATCTGCCTTTATTCCCCACTCTGTAGGCAATCACAATCAGCAACTTTAATAAAGCAGCAACTTTCATAAAAAACTACACAGTTAAACCAATTAATGAAATATGTTTTTCTAACGACCTATAAGTTACCTATTCTTTTTTCTTTTTATGAAAATAAAAATAAAAATAGTCAAACTGAAGCCTCCAAAACACACAGAAGTAGTTGGGGGATCAATCTAATACATTTCCTTACTAGGCTAAATTTCACTGCACTTACAATAGGCAGGGCAGGAAGGATGAGGCTGCCCGATGCTTCCTGGTCCAGGATAGTTACTGTTGCCACAGGGATGTCTCCAAGCACTGCTTCCACCGGGTCGTCGGGTCCAAGGACCAGCGTTAGAGACTCATGCCACTCGCGATCCTCATTGGACAAAACCTCCACCTTAAAAATGACGTGGTCCATTCCTACAACACAAAAGCACAATGGTAGACTTCTTAGAAATGTGACATACTTGATTTTTTCCATGCTGTGCACCAAGAATACTTGATGTGAAATCAGCGTATGAAGTTAAAAAGGAATTGTTTCAAATAATATGCAGGAGCTTGTGATTCACCGTCCAAACAGAGTCTCAGCTGGGTATCACTGACAAATGTTAAAAACGTTTTAATGAGGTGAATTACCAGCATAATTGGTGTATCTGAAAGCGGCGTGTGTTCATTTTCAGATATTCAGATATAACAGTTGGTTTTATTAATAGGTTATGATTTGATATTATAATGAATGTGTGGTGAGCACTGAAAGCTTTGAAAGGAAATCTTACCACAGTGGATAATTCTGATGCTAAAATGAGCGAGGAACTAGCTTCAAAGAGCAAGCTTAAAAATGAACTGTCTGTGATTTTTGTTTTAACAAATATTGAAAACATCAGGTCAAGTGCTGTGGTTATACAATAATGTGAATTTGTTGACAGACCTGGGGTAAAGCGAAGCACGCGGCTGTTGGGGTTGTAGTCCACTCCAGACTGAGCGGATCCGTCTCTTGTGCTGCAGCGGATCTTGGAGGTCCGGTCCAGATCTCCTCTTCGGACCACTTTAATGTTCAAGACTTGGACTCCGTCTGGACCAGGGGGCTCTCTCACTTGATAGGACGCCTGCTCAAACTCTATGGTGGGAGCTAGGGATAAAAAGCACAGAGATGGGACATGCTTTTTATAATACTTGCTGAAAATGTGTGGAATATCGTGGAGTAGTTTCCCCACCATCTTCATCGTTGGAAATGGTGACAGTGGCCACATCCCTTTCTCCGATCATGGCCCCGCTCCAGTGCTCCCCCAGAGGAGAGCCCAGATGCACCTGCAGATCCTCGTCTGGCTCGAACACAGAGTCGTCTACGATGCGGAGGGTGCAGTTTTTCACCTGAAACAACAGCATCATTAAAGATCCACTCAGACTAGGCCTTTTGAACCGTTACCATAGTCGAGTGTTCTGGTCCAGCTCTAGAACTAATGCTGAAAATAAACCTAGCAGCAAGAAACATATGTAAATTATTATAATCCATAAAGGATAGGGAGTGCAGGGAGATAATTCATGTTAGAGATGCTCACCAAAGCAATAATACGTGTCTACATCTAGAACTACTTCCAATGTGTATCTTAGTGTATGGAGTTATTGTTTGGGATAACTCACCAAGTTAATTAAAAACATGTTCAAATATGAATCTGAATATGAAAAAAAAATGAAAATAAAGAAGTATGTGGAGGAAAGAGAGTGATGCCCTCAGCACAGACCAAGTGTTGGGAGAGAGGTGTAGGGTCAGAGAGTGTTTGGGCCTTGTCTGGGTGAGTTGTGTGTTTTGTATTGTGTTATATGAATGAAAGGGGTTGGAACCAAATAAGTGTCTGGTTCTTCCAATCCCTTTTCAAACTGCAATTTGGTTAATATATTACTTTGTATTGTGTTTTTTGTAGATGAGGTTGAAGAAAGTCAATCAATGTTTCACAGTTTTGTACTCAAATTGATCCACGAGTCGCTACAGCACATGCATTCACACTCGCAAGCGTTTCAAACATCAACGCTCAAGAGGGCATTGCAGTTTTAATCTGCTGCTCATTCTGAAAACATTTTCAGACAATTACTGGCGCCGTGTTTAGAACCTGTACAGCTCTGGGCTAATGTCTGTTTATCCCATGTGTCTTTAAAGTGGCAGAGCATCCATACCCTCTCTCCTTTGAGGAAGGTGATTCTGGACTGGTCAGTGTTGGCTCGTTCCTCAAAGTCGTCCATGACAGCAGCAGACATGGTGCGGGTGAAACAGCGCACAGAAGATTTAAAGGACAGGTCTCCGGTTCTAAGGATGGGCAGGTTCAGCACAGACTCCCTCTCCTTCACAGTGTAAGACGTCTTCTCAAACTGCATACTTGGAACTAAACACACCCAAACACATTTGAGGAGAAAAGATTAGACAGAGACTAGAGGTCATAAATGGATGAAAGAAACATCTGATAATGCCAAAGAAGACATATTGTGCTTTCGTCAGCTGTACAGAATAAGTATATGATATATTAAATACCATAATGATATATTAAATACCATACTTAAAATTTACACTTGCGCCTGTCTTTAAACCAATCACAATAAAGTGCTAATGTAGATCTCAGTCGTACAGCAAATAGCCCCTTACCCCCATTAATACCAAAAAGCCTGACCAATGAAGCCAAGTTATGATGCACAATTCATTTTTTTTATTTTGACTTGACTGTATAAAATATCAGTGGTATGTAGCACTAGTGCTAAAAACGAGGACCAGAGAAAGAACCAGAGAAATGCAGAAGAATACAGATGAGTAACTACATGAAACACACAAAAACAACTCATGATAAGCAATAAACAACACCATTGATAAAAGCTCTGAACAGTGGACAAATAATGATGTCATCTTTAGTGAAGCATGAGAACGTACTGTCTAAGAAAGTGTCCTGGATCACAACATTGGCCTCATATGGCTCCTGCAGCACCGCGCCCTGAGGAGAGCTCAAAAACACCACAAAAGTCTCAGGGCCTTCGATCACTGGAGACTGGAGGTCGTCCATGATGGTCAGGCTGCACGTCTGCAACAGGAGAGAAGATCACTGTCGTTACTCACTGCTGCTGATGGTCACAAGCATCTGTCATGGTTTAGACCTGCACATGAAGGGCTGGAGGAATGACTAATTTTAAACACCAGATAGATTATTACCTCCGCCCAGAAGGTAAAGTGATGCATTTGTCTGCTTTTTTGTTTGTCTGTGAGCAATATTTGCCTTTTTCATGTGGTTTGAATTTTTATTTACAACATTATAGGTTTATGTTTACTATAATATGTGAAAAATGAGGATTGGAGGATTTAACATTCTTTATGATTGATATTTGTTATACATATTAATCATAAAGAATGTTAAATCCTCCAATCACAACATTGTCTAATAATTGTCACTTTGTCCTGACCTCATGCATGGTTCCTGGTTTAAACTGGACTTTCTTAGAGCTGGGGATGTAGTCGACTCCGGGGCTGGCAGAGGGAGGGTCCAAGGGCCGAGTGGCACACCACACAGAGGTGAGAGAGGACAGGTCACTTCCATGACGCAGCACTGAGATCTCTATGGTGCCTGAGAAAAAATACAAGTATGAGTACAAATACAAGTATGTAGTACATGTACATACTTACGTGACTTCAAAGAGTAGCAAATACCCACACCGGTTACATTATTAGCACCAGACATCTTTTGACTTTTACTGGAGGAATATTAATATTAATTTGATCATTACTTATTTAACCAGTGTGGGGAAACCATGCTACTCACTACTCGACTGCAATGCTAGGTGACACGGTGGCCCAGTGGTTAGCATTTGTGCATCACAGCTGTGTGGAGTTTGCATGTTGACTCTAATGAGAGAGTGAATGGATTGTGATGCTCAAAGGCTTTGATGTGCCAGGGTGTTCGGCGTCTCACTTCTTAGACCCGTGTGGAGCCCATTCTCTCAAACTACTTACTGGAACACCATAATTGTAAAGTGCTTTGTGTGATTTTGGTCTGTGAAATGGACAATAAAAATTACTTTAATTAATTACTTACTCAATTACTCCATCTGATCCTCAAACATAAATCTAGGGGTATTCATAATATACAAATATAGTGATGATACATTTTGTGAAATTTGTTGGTAGGAAATTTGCTATTGTGATCAGGATTATTTCACAGGTTAGACTTTTTAAAGCTACAAGAAACTTCCGCTTGAAATGATGAATTGGGCAATGAGGAAAGTAATTACATAAAATAAGATCAATGCCTCAAAAATAGTCCAATAAAATAATAATAGAGCATCCATCAAGTCATTTCACACTCTCCAAAGACACTAATATCCATCTTGTTGTCATACCTGCGTCCTCGTTGAAGGTGAAGGTGGCGTTGCTAAGGGAGACAGTGGATGCGTCGTTGGGCCCGTCGATCACCACTTTGGCCACTGGCACGTCACCGAGGCGTGCGTTATCGGAGGCATCTGACAGGACCAGCTCAAACTCCTCCGACAGCTCGTACTCGCTGTCATCAATGAGTTTCACATCGCAGGTTGTCATGGAGACGCCAGGTCCGAACACCACGCGGCTCGCCCCTGTCATGCCCCGAGTTTTGAAGTCCGAGCCGGACTCAAGGCCGGTCAGACTGGAGCCATGGGCCGACTTTGGGACAGTGTAACAGAGTGCGGACACTGTGCTAGAGGCGTCACCTGGAGAAGGAAAGAGGAACAAGAAAAGTCAATACAAACACCCATATACATGTTTGCATCATATACTGTATATGGACAATGCTAACACACTACTAGCTTAACGAAGCCAAGGGAGGTGTTGCTCCCATTGACTTACATTGAAAAGTACACACCTCCTGCTCATTTGTGTCACACTCACCATTTTGAACATAAAAAAGTGATTTCTCCAGTATGAGATCAATAAAGTCTATCTTATCTTAGCGCTCTCTGTGATTCTGGCGTTCCTATTTTGATATTGTCTTTGTAAATCTAGATGTGAGCCATATATGGATGCTTTTGTTCGCACAACCATGTTAGCAACATGTTTGACCCTGTAAAGGAGTAAAGCTAAACCTGTTATTGTTATTATTATTTCCCATATAAGGAAATTGGGTCCAGCTAGCTTATGTTCAAATCGGCTTCTTCTGCCTTATTATTACATGGCATGTTAAATAAAATGAAATATATATAATATAACATATTTGCTTTCTGCTTCTACTTTTTTTCATCAGCTCGTTGATGTTGACGCGTCTAATGGCTTCAAACAGTGGCCTTCCAAAGTTCACTCGTCTTATTCACTTGTTAACTCCATTTTGAAAATGTGTCAAAAAGTTGTATTCCTCAAGCTACAATCTTCAACGTGTTTTATTATTGGTAGTACATTTTAAATAAATTCCTCAAGAAGGAGTGAAACTTTATATGTATGGCAATAAAAAAAGATCTGACTTTTCAAAAAATCCTTGGTAAAGAGACAATTGTAAGCCTTTTGAATGTTTTTCTAATGTATGTATCTGTTCAAAGGCCCTTCTTCCCGTACCTTTCCTCTCCACAGGCGCGTGAACAAAGCCAGCGCTCTCGTTCACGTGGTAGGTCTTGTGGTCGAACTGCAGGCGTGGCTCGTCCTCTGTGTCGTTGATGTGGACCAGGGCTCTGGTGTTCTGCCCCAGCAGAGCGTACACTGGCATACTCAGCTCCACGTGGAACTGCTCCACGCCCTCAAAGACCTGGTCGTCGTTTATGATGATTGTGCACACTTTGGTATCCTCGCGCTCGTCAAACTGGACCTGAGAAAAAGTAATTCAAAGGGAGTTACATTTTATATGTCGTTGGCTACAAGAATTGTATGGCGGGCATCCTTGAGGCCTATGGTCTTCCTTGGGACACAAGCGTGCAAGGATTCTGGAACAATATGACAAAGGGGCACTGGACTGGAGAACAATTTGGAGATCTGGGGGGGTTGTCTCCAGAAACCCCAATCATCAGATAATACATGATAATTACATTCATCTGACATATTTGACACCGAAGTAGGCCTACCATATGAACATGGTGGCAATGCCGCAGTGTACACTGTGCAAAGAGAACCGGATGGGGACCTTTAAGATTAAGATTAAGAGAGCCTTTATTCGTCCCACAGTGGGGAAAGTTATAGAACAGTATGAAAGAGGAGCACACAGTACATTATAAGTGAACAATAGCTATACTAATTAAAATAAAACAAAATTAGTAACTCTAGAATCAAATAACAAGTACTAAAATCGCTATCTTGAAAAAACAGACCACATGTACTGGGAGTGCTGTGAAACACTTTTGAGGGGTAGTGTTTGCATCTCTGACTAAAGTGCTGGGTCTGATAGTGCCCTGCTCTCCTACACTGTTATTAAGAAATTACACTACAAACATGGACCTAAGCAGAGCACAGACATGCCTCCTCCTGGCAGGAGTCACAGCGGCCAAGAAAATGCTGGCCCTTCGCTGGAAACCACCCCACACACTGTCCAGGCAGCAGTGGATCAGGACTTTCATGGACATTACAAACATGGAGCTGTCAGTAGCCAGGATGCCAGGAGCAAAGATGGGAACAATTATGGCGTGGAAAGAACAGTTGGAGAAAATTAAAGACATAAGTGAATAAGCTGGAAGGTGTGGAAACAGTGGAACTTAACTTTTTTATTTTCTTCATTTTAATTTTTTCTCTTAATGTGGTCTCTTTTTTGATTTGTAGGTATGAATGATGGATGGATGGAAGAATGTATGGTGGCCGTGGGGTAAGTGTGAGTAAGAGTTGTGAGGGCGAATTTGTTGTAGGCATGTATATGTTTTGACATGTTAACATACAATGTAATCATTTAATAATGTAACAATCTGGATCACATGTACTTATGAATCGGTGACGAAAACAAGAATGAAAAATTGTATTTGTATAATTGTAGGTATTATTTGTTTTAAGAGTCTTATTTAAAGTTTTATTATTTCATGTACGTAGGTTTTGGTTTGTTTTGAAATGTAGCTTTAACTAAAAACACTGACTGTACTAACAATAACCCCTCAGACCTTTAAGGCACTATTTTATATGAAAAGCCTAACCCGTTTTATAATGTGGGTTACCTGGCCTGCGTACTCCACGTAGTCTTGGGAGCCTGCTTTGTTGCTGGAGGAAGAGGAGGAGGCAGAGTCCTGCTCAGTGCGGCACAACACCACTGCGTACTGGTTCAGGTTCCCGGTCCTCTTCACCGTCACCGACACCGTGCCCGCCTTCTCGCTCACGTTATAACTGTGCACACAGATAATCACAGTGATTGTTTTTATGTGTTAGCTTTAGATGAACTCATGTTATTAATCTAAGAATACATTTGTGATTAGGCTAGATTTGCGCAGTAATATTTCACAATTTGAACACAGAAAATGCAATGATCGCAAACATGGGAGCCATTGGTCCATAAGGAGCCAAATGACTAACGTAATAAATGTGCATAAATGTGCCTAATTGTCCCTAAAAGTGAGAAACCTAGAAGGATTGACATTTGAAATGATAATAAAAAAAACTCTGGTTGATATTGCTGTAATTGATTGTATGGATGTTATTCAGTGTGTGTAGCCAATGAAGGGGAACAGATAAATGAATACCGTATACGTGCGAATAACATCAAAAAACGTTGTCAGACCTGGTGTGCTGGAAGCTGAGGAGGGACCACTGGATGTGAAAGACGTTGTCCGTGACCATGTTGGGTTTACTGTCCCGCACTGAGAAGCGGAAGAGATCCATGGTCTCCTCCAGACCGTCCGGCTGCAGCACGTAGCGGATCAGACCCAGGTTTATGTCCGCTGACCCCAGGGAAGAAAGGTATTTAGCAACTGATACATAAGAGACATAACTGGTGGGAGAAATACTCAATATTGTTATAAAATATGAAATAAGAAAAGTGTGCATTAAAACTATTTCAAACAAATTTCACAGATTGTAAAAAAGGCAAAAGTTGTATTATTAGAGTTGTAGCTTTAACTCGAAACAATAACCCCTCAGCAGTCTTTTATAACTATGCGGTCTACACATTTTGGATATGCAATTTTTCTTGTTGCCCAAAAAAACTAAATACAAAAAATATGTAATGTTTATTTATATAGCACAGATATATATTTTATATTTTACAGACCACACAAAGTGAATTGTGCATGAAGTGAATTCTCCTCTGTTGAAGTCGCCAGAGTTGAGACCACCCTTTAAAAGAAGTGCTTGTTTCATACCTTGTGTGAAAATAGTGATGGGGTTGCCAGGTTTGAGTTTGCTCTCTAGAAATCCATGTTTAGGCTCCGAGGTGACTTCATAGACCAGCTGATCATCCTCAGTGTCTGGGTCCATAGTGAGTAGCTCCTTGCGACTAATTAGGTTTGTGGCCTGCCAGAGTAGTAAATACAGAGCTTTATAGAAGCAAATTAAGTAATAATGATAATAATACATTTATATGGCGCCTTTCTCTGCACTCAAGGCTGCCTTACACAAAGTACAAAATCAAAGACAAAAAACAGCTAAAAAGGACAGTGCAATATAGGGTCAAAGTGAATCTCGGACAGTCTGAAAATGTGATTTGAGTTGGAGCAGGTTGTTTATGGTCATCAACTTGGATGACCCTAAACCGACCCCTACCTGCTCCTTCACCTCGGCCACAAAAGTCTGCCTGACTCCCTCACTGTTATACCACTCTTGACAATGTTGGTGTGGTTAACCCTGTAGGGAATCTTTGAGTCATTATTGACTAAAAACTCTCCTTCAAAGCACATATAAACGCAAGCAACTAAAACTGCATTTTTCCATCTGCACAACAAAGCCAAAAGTAGGAATATACTTCATAAAAGGGATGCAGAACAAAATCCACACTTTTTATAAGTAAGTAAGTAATCTTTATTTATATACCGCCTTTCACAGACCAGAGTCACAAAGCGGTTTACAATTGTTATTTTTTGGGCATTTGTCCACTCACTCCAGAGATGGGAGTGAGGTTACCTTTATCACCTCAAGGTTTGACTACTGTACCGCCCTGCTTGCAGCATGCCCTAAATCAACTATAAAAAGCTTCCAGCTTGTCCCTATTACAGCACCAAGGACTTTAATACAAACTAAAAGGAGGGAAGCCATAAGTCAAGTGTTAAAATAACTCCACTGGCTTCCTGTGGAGTATGTTGAAATCCGTCATTTAACATACAAAGCAGGTTATGGTCTCCTCCCACCTCTAAGACACATTAGTATCAGATCCACCAAACCAAGCACTGCGCAAAACACCAGACGTCTGGTGGTTCATAAAGTGTCAATTAGTACAGTTGGAGGCAGAGCATTTAGCTCCAAGCTACTTTACTGTTGATTAAACCTGGAGAGACTACAAGAGACGAGATGCGTTTAAGAGTTGTTTATTTTATGGATTGAGTTTGTTTATTGGTTTGGAGCTTAGGCCCCGGCTGTGGCCGTGCTCTGAAGATATCTGCGCCTGGGTGCAGATCATGATCCCCCGGGGCCTAGACACTGGTGGTGGCAACAAGGCAAGGTGAAAGTGAGAGTGAAGAAATCCTGAGGCGGAGGTGGTTGCAGCTTGAAGTCCGTTTGGTGACCTGTGCTCTGCTTTGCTCTTAAACGCTGGCTTGATTGACACGGCTGCGGGGAGTTGATTAAGACAGGCTGAGTAAGGCGTGGTTAAGCCTGGTGTGATGACGTAGGTAGTCTACCATCCTGAACCTCCGCTTAAGCTTCATATCAGCTTCCCATCCATGTCATGGAATAGGACACAGTCTCTACATTCAAGGCTAGGCTTAAAATTAATTGAGTTCAATGAGAGTTTTTTGAGAAAGACCAAACAGAAGAGAACTGCAGTAATCCAGACGGGAAGTGACGAGACTATGAACCGTGACTGCAGTGGACTGTAGAGCGAGGGAGGGGCAGAGGCAGTGGATGTTGCGGAGGTGAAAAAAGGCGAGGGTGACATTGCTAATGTGAGAGAATATATAGAGATATATCGCTATATATTGATATTAAACATAACAGCTACTTGTATTGAATATTTTGCACCCTGTGTGCGCTGCAACATTGAAATTCTAGGTTCACTTATTTTAATGCTATCAAGGATGAAGTAACCTTGTTAAAAAGTTCTCTTGTAATAATCAATCAAAAGTTACATATTGATTGATTCTTCCATGGTCAAGTGATCCAGTGTTGTCCTGCAATTGAAGTTACAGTGCTCCGGACAAAATGACTCACTAGTGACCGATCTCCAACACATTTCTCACTATTACTATTAATCACCAATTCTAATCATACCCTGTTTTAGACCAATAGCATACCCTATAGCTACAAGTATCTCTACTGATGTTTTATTGTTGCTGAATAAATATAGTCACAAAAAATCAATTAAATAAATGAATATATTGGAAGATTATATAGTGAATGATACCAAAATATGCCTTAATATTTGAACCAGTAGATGGCAGACTTGTCTAACTGATTATTTCTACTTTCTCTGGTGCCAGGATCTACCTTTTTATTACATAGTTATTATGTCTGCTTACCTTATTGTCCATGTATTCAAGCCACTGCAGGCCCAGGTTGGTCACAATGCGTGGGGTTCCGTCATCCACTGGGAGAATGTCGATCTTAAACTTCTGAGGAGCTGCGGTCACAATCTGAGAGAAAAGCACATTCTTAAAGTGTGTCAGCCGGTTCATGTTTCCTGAGTATAAGTATGCTGGGATGGAGGTTCAGGTAAATAATTATGACCGTTTTACATCAGAGTGGTGGCTTATCATAGAAAGATGCAGGGGAAAAAACCTGGTAAATAGGTGATCAATATGCACAATTCTATTTGAAATGCACAGTCAATAAGCTCACAATAGTTGCCAATTCACATTTGTAAATAAGACAAGCTCTGGCTTTTGTTTATCATGGTGGCAAGGTAACTAAGTGGCATCTGCTGCACAAGGAAATCAGGAAAAGGTCAAATTGTAAAAGGTGAACACATTTTTTGGCAAATAAAAAAAGCATGCATTATGCAGTTAAACTTGTCATTTGTAATTTAAAGTTTAAGATAATGACAGACAGGACATGACCACAGATACAAGTGGTCCAAATGAGATTCTTCCAGTAAGAGGAGAGGAGCTTTGTTACATGGGAAGAGCTCAGAGTAGAGTTACTACTCCTGCTGAGGTTGCTCCAGCATTGGTTCTGGAGGGAGACCCTGGGGAAGACCCTGGACATGATGGAAGGACTATGTCAATCAGCTGACCCTCACTCCTCCAATGAGCTTAAATCCCTCTACACTCTTATCTCTGCTCTTCTTGTTTTTTTGTCGTTTAATTAAATCTCTGCACAGACATACGTGCGGATGAGAAACACACTGCTCTCTGATTTCTAAATTTCAGCGCTATGTGTGTCATGTTTTTTGTTCAAAATAAAGGATTGTTCAGACACATAACCAAAGAAAGGAAAGATATTGATTCTTTTCTCGCGTCCCGGTGCCAAATTCCCTGCGGACACTGCCAGAGGTGTTCTTGTTCAACCAGCTGATTAACTGTCATAATTACAGGGAAATGTTGATATGTGTTTGCACTGTGAACAGTATAAAATGTCTGTTATTGTTACATCTTTATTATTGTGTTTATTTGCATTGTGATCAACTTATCATGTGATATAAATAACAAGCTCATAAATCACATTTTTAAAAGCGTGCAAACTACATGTATGTATCATGAATGCCCACATGTTTCCAACTAGTGACATTCTTTTATAACTGTGGCACCTGAATCCTCCAAAGAGCTTATTTGTACTTCATAAAAGTGAGCTGAGAATAGTACAGAAAAACCAATGTGTCAGGAGGACCGCAGACTGTGGCTGTTAGTTCTAAGGTCATCAAAGAATAATGTCACTGTGGAAATGTGTCAGATTTGGCTTTTTTCAATGACAAATCCTGGGTTTCCTGTGAGTGCAGGTCGGGTTTTAAGTTTGTGTGGCACTATTGTAAACTTAGACAAAATCAATAAAAGCAATAACCCCCAGCTCTCTGACATTCACCATTTTATACTTTTTGTGTTCGTTTTATGCTTTACCTCTCAGATGTTGGCTTTTACATCAGCCCTTCTGAGGTCTTTAAATGTCACAAATGTCATGAAGATTTTGCCTAATGATTTCTCTCCCATGTTATTGGTTTATTTTACTATTCAACAGTAACATTGATCTTGGGACTCAGTGATGGGTCCGCTACATTTGCGATACAAGATAAAACACAGAAGACTCCAAGAGTACATAATATACATAATACCCGCCCACACAGCCCGCTTCCTTTCCTTATTTAACAGACTCACTCAAATAGGAATGAACGAGGTCTTATATCGAATGTGTTGGCTCAATGGCACTCTCAACATTTCCTTTCATCACACCAAAGTATGGATGTCACAATTTACATGTTAGAGTAACCATAATTGCGAGAAAAAGATCTAATGAATATTCACAATTGCACTGTAAAAATGAGTCATACATTGCTCAAATTTGGAAAAATTTATTTAGTTTGAGCACATTTTGAATGCCTTAAAACAGGATTTGCCAATGGGACACACACTGGGTGGCACGGTGGCTGAGTGGATAGCACTCTCGCCTCTCAGCAAGAAAATCCTGGGTTCAAATCCTGGTTGGACCAGGGCCTTTCTGAGTGGAGTTTGCATGTTCTCCCTGTGTCTGCGTAGGTTTCCTCCGTGTGCTCCGGTTTCCCCTACCACTAAAAAGGCAAGGCCCTTACGTCGCCTGCCGCGCAGCATCGAAATGTTCTAACTACGTAAGGGTCGCCGCAAGGAATCTCCGCTGTGATTGGTCCGTGTGTGTGTATTGGAAGGAAGCACGGAGCGGCTGCAGCAGGGACATGGACGAGGCACTATGGAGCAGAGAGCTTTGTGCTTCGAAGGAAAAGCAGTTTGGGCTCAGAGCCTGATATACAGGAGACAGTGGACTATCTAACATATATATAACTTATAAACTGTGCAGTCGTTTGTTTTTCTCTGTTCCTGTCTTGTTTGAATCGTAGCTGCGTTTGTTGCTTTCCTCCTGCACTTGTAAATCGTTCAGGTTTGTTAGCAACCGCTAACGTAAACCACGCCGCGCAAGTATACACTGACTAGGCTACTTACTTACTTACACAATTATCTCGTTTTAAAAAGACATAAGAAATATCTCCCTTGAAATTAGAAACTAAAGCAAAAAATCTTGAAATAAGACTAAATGGCTTTGTCCCATTGGTAAATGTTGGTTTAAGACAGAAGACAGAAAGTCAGAATATACTCAAATTAAGATATAAACCACTTGATTCGTTACAGTAGAAAGAAGACTCATACAAGACATTACTCACTATGAATTATGGCTTCATAGTTTTCCCAGAATGTTGGCTGCATGGTGTCCTCCTCTTTGTCTATGTTGTCTGTTTCTATAATACTGGCTTAAAGCTCAGCAATGAACTTGATTTGACCCCAAATCAGAGGATTAAGTGCAATAGGGTTAGAGTAGAGTAGTGAGTCTACCTGTGCTTTGGTTTATACACACTGCAACTGTTCCCTCTAATCTGTGCATGTGCAGAACACTCTCCCAAGGCCTCTGTTGCACACTCTGTTGCACAAACCAATGATATGCAGTGATTAACAGTTAAAACACGTCAATGACTGCATGATGAGAGGCAATAGCATTTTTGTCCTTCACTTTTCTCTGTGCTTTGACCACAGTAGATCAATGACTTAAGTGTGCTGTTTTTGTTAGCACTGTTTAACAAATAGGTCAATCACTAACACTGAGTAAAGTGTCTATCAATAATAATAAAGTATGTATTTGATTTTATAATGCCAATTGAAAACATAATATTGACCGTGGTTGGTGCACCTAAGAATTGCGAGCTACTGTAAGAATTGTTGGCCTCCCATTAGATTTTAAAAACTTTATCTTAGACAATAAAACACCTGATTTTTACTTTTCCCAAGACCATTACGGATGGATCCATTATACTGTAGGCAGCGTAAGAGCAGAGATGTTTTTGTGCTCCTCCTCTACTAATGGGTCCACGCGTCTCAACTGCTAATGCTAACCCAGGGGGCGGATCTGAGATAAGGCCTTCAGGGATTAGAACCACATAGAAAGGAGGCCCAACAAAACAAAGAAGAAAAAATGACATTTACATGAACATATATAATAATAGATAAAGAAAAACGTGTTTACCTTTTTTATTGTATTATTGTTAAAAATAGAATAATGATTTAAAATGGATTCACATTAGAAGTGAAATACACCAAACTATCCATCCATCCATTTTCTTCCCCTTAATCCATTTCTGGGTCGGGGGGGTGGCAGTCACAGCTGCACCCAGTACACTAAGCACCAGCCCCTCACTGATCCTCCTGCAGGTGGTGAGTCCACAGGAGCTGAGCTCTTTCATCTACTACTACATCTACATTAGGTTAAATATAGCCTGGTTGTACCACACCTTAGTACAAATTTCATTTCATACTAAGGTCTGGATTTGCTCCATTGAGCTCCGTGAACAGGTGGGAGGGGTTAACTCCTTTTGCAGATTGAAACGATTGGATTTGAGTTTACTGTGACATGTAATGCGCCCGAGTGTGTTGTTAGCATTTAGCATTTAGCCTAGCCATCTCCTTTGCTGCTAACGGAGCCCGTGGGGAGTAGCGGCACAATCTTGACCAGCGATTACATTTGCTAAACATTCCTCTGGCTCCTGCTTCAATTTCTTGATAGAACCAGACCGGATTACTTTACTATCGCATTCTTCGCCACTGCCAAACTACAACCTGCCTGTTTGACGCAAACTCTTGACGTCACCGGCACCGACCTACAACACCCGCCTTCCGCGTTCTCTGAGTAGCCGGTTGAAATACGACCGATTGTAATCGCTAACACAGGGACCAGACCCAGACGTTACATGCAGTGAAATGATGATTGAGCGGAGTGTACGGATGGCTATGGCCAGGTAACCTGGCAAGAGCCAGATTGATGATTGTGTAGAACTCTAACGCGTTCTCCACGATATCAATCTGGGATTTCTCCCGGAGAATCCTTTCGGGGAAAGGAGGGATAAGCAGCAGAATACTTCAAGCTGATTGGGCGAAGTGACGCTGTGTGCCCGCCTACCAAGGTTGCCGTCCAGAAATGCACAAAGCGCCTCTCGCTGTTCATCTTTCAAAAAAGAAATTGGAGATTCTGCTAAAACTGACTTGATAGCCTCAGCTACGCGTCCGTCCTCCTGCGTAGCCATGTTTGTTTTGCTTCGGCCCGGCACTTCTTGCTTTCGTCAAACCCGGATATCCCGCCCTAAACCCCCAGACTGGCGCGTGATTGGCTCGCACACCCAGTGGTTCGACTCGAAAAGTGTAAGCGGGAGCGGTACAAGATGTATTCTCGAGTGTTTGTGAACTCACAAATACCGCGAGAATTCAGCTTGCAGGCAAGGTTAATGGCCAGGCTAGGTTAAATATAAATCCATAATAAAAAAATGTGCATTGGAATCGTGACAAAAATATTTATATTGAATTCAAAGCACCACCAAAAGCGAATTGCATTCTTTGATGTAGCAATATTCTGGTTTGTGCAATAAAGTCGATGTGTTTCCGTTACTGTTTTCTACATGTCCACTCTTGTTGTTTGTTCTAACAAGATCCGATCACTGTTCTAGTCCTTATCTCTCTGTAAATAGTGTCTCTGTATGTTTTTACTAACTTGTGTGTAACACCAATCTGCCAGGAGGTCTGCAGATGGAAATTAGCCTAAGGCTCAAATCTGGCATATTTACATTTGTGAAAATGTTTATTAATATGTATTGTTCCTCCTTTCTCAAATCCCGCTCAGAGATCAGGGAGTCTGTGTGGCTTCACCGTTTACGCTCCTCCTCGTGTTTGTGCTCAACTTTTCTGTGAATTCAGCTGCTGTTAGATTGTCACAATGTAATGAAAATATCAGCCTTAAGCCTATAAATGCTGTCAATGCCACTGGGAGGGATAACGCTTTCTTAGAAGTGGCAGTCCAGACATTTTGCACTGAACACTACGGCTCCTACCTCATTCACACACTTTGAGGAGAGTCTGAGCTCTTTGTCAATCTGTATTTATTGTTTCTATTTAATATAATCTATCACATTAGTATATATAACACTTTTTTTGTGAAAAGTGGAAACTCATTCATTCATATACAGTAGGTGAAGGTGGACATGCAGAAGTGTGCAGAACCCCAAGGTAAATTGCAATTATAAATACCCAGAAATGGATTAAGGGAAAGAAAATAGATGGATATAAATACATATATACTTATGAATATCATTATATGAATATGTTTATCATTCAGTTTCAGAGATTGAGAAAATCTCACCCTTTTTTCACACATGGAACAACGTGGATCTGTTATAGAATCACATGCTCACATATGCGCAAATTTGAAAAAAATTGCATGCTAACAAATATAATATCCATTTAAAAAGCCTATTCATGTAAATGTCATGTCAAATGTGTAAATAATAAATAAACAAATACTTGATACCTGGTGCACAAAGAGAAAAAAGTCCAAACATCGACTATTTTAGTTTGGAGCCCTGCTATAAATGCAACTGAACGAAAGGGAAAACTTTTGAAACCTAAATGAAAGCATATAAACACATTCTGTCCTGTTTAAAGACGTGTGGCTGACCTCTTTGCCGTCCTCATGCAGCAGGAAGAGCAGGTTGGTGGAGTCGGACAGGCTGAAGGTGAAGCGGTCTTTGAGGGAGTTGGAGCCATCATGGTTGTAGCTGATGCGGTTCTGGTAGATGTCGTCCATGGTGAAGGAGCTGGTCTGCCGGTAGTGCTGCCCGTTGTGGGTGCGTTCGATGGAGCCGTGCCGTGGAGGCTGGACCACGGTGAAAACAAGGGACTCTGCCTGGAATGAGAGAAGTTCAAACAAGTAAATACAAGGCTCCGAACTGTAACGCCATAGGCCACGGCAACTGTTCCTATGGCAACAGTCACCATGGCACTGCAACCGTTGCTATGGCAACAGTCACCACGGCAACAATTGCTATGGAAACAGTCACCATGGTGTAGCAACTGTTGTTATGGCAACAGTCACCATGGCACAGCAACCGTTGCTAGGGCAATAATCACCATGGCATGCCAACTGTTGCTGCGGAAACCATTGCTATGCCAACAGTCCCCATGATATGGCAACCATTGCTACGGCAACAGTCACCGCGGCATGGCAACCATTGTTATGGCAACAGTCTCCACAGCAACCGTTGCTATGGCAACAGCCATCAGGGCTATTGCTTTGGCTCTTGGTACAAACAAGTTAAAATAGAGAGATTTTAGGAAACCTCATAAGTTGTATCCCAAAAAAAAAAGTGAAAACTGCATGCTTCACAAATGCTCTTCTAATTTCACTAAGCTTCAGTTGTTTTTCAAGGACAAATTGGCAAATCTTTAGATCTCTTGCAGTGCAAAGACTGAGGTGTCCAAACGTGAGAGTTCCATTTTAGTTCACCAGATTTGTCCAAGGGCTGAGCTTCAGACAGCTTAAATTTAGGAACATTTTGTCAATAAACATGCAAGGAAGAAATCTGCAATCCATGGCAGTGAATAGGTTGGGGATGGCTGTAGTACAGTGTTATATTGTCATGTGTTTTACTGCACTGTTTTTATTGTGTTGTCTTGTGTTTAATGGGTGAGGTGGGATCCACTTGTTTGATTGATTGAGCTGTGATATTGTGTTTGTGCAGGTTATAAATATATAAATCAACTAACTGACTAATTAAGTGATGTGTTCGAGGGAATTAATACTAAATAAACCCACTAATCAACATGACATTACAACATCAGCCTCTGTTAGCATACAGTACATTTCTAACGGCAGAGGGCTGCGGTTAGGGTTGAACTATTTATCTGTGTCCTCAACATAAAAGCTAAAGTTATCAACCAAAGCTAATCATTCTTTAATAGATTTTTTAAAAATGACTAAAATGTGTTGTTGTTTTGCAGTTCTACTTCTGTTGCAAGGCATGGCAAGCCTGCACAATGGACATGTATGAATCGTTTAAACCTTGCTTCAGAAAAAGCAATTACAATAGGACGCTAAAAGCCCATTTGGTACAACATGTCTCCTTTAAAGATGCACATTCAAAGCCTTGGTAATAAAAGACAGAAACTCACAATTAAGAGTCTGGTACAATAAAAATCTCCTTTATTAAAAATAAATCAACCCTTTTCTTTCATCAAATCAATTTTCATTGTACAGTTCAGTCCTGGTTCAACCTGTTCTCCCATGGTTTGTGAAAAGTGTGCTGCTAATACAGTTTGTGCTGGATTTCTTTTATTCCGCTATAAAAGGGGAGGTACAGTGAGTGTTTTGGAGAACAGCATGACATTGCCTGTGCACCTGGACAGATGGAGGGGACCATGAGAGACGTAATCTTTAAAAAGACACACTGGAGCTGGAACAAATAAACGCAAATTAAGATGCTTTCAACAGTTGCTCAATGTGCTTGTGTAAGGGTTTTATCAAAATAAGTGGGTGTATGTGTATCTAGAAGCTTTTAATGTAATATAGTCTTGTATAGCTTCTATTGAAAAAATGGGCTTAGACCAGTGGGGGAGGGTCCCAGCTCAAATGTGGCCAAAATGACGTGCGCTGACATGCTTGCAATACCACCCTGGGCCGATGGGGGTGGACCCAGAAGTAGAATTAGCCAATGCTAACATAAAGCATTGGCAGACCTCTCAAAAACGTCTTTACAGGATGGTCCAAAAGTTGGCTCTTGGCCCAAAGCTCCGTTCCACATGTGTGTCAATGCTGAGGGGGGTGGATTTTTTTGGTCCACTCTAGTTTACTTGCTGTGAATTTTTGAAGTCTCTCGTTCAAATGAATGGAGTTGCGCCGGCTGACGCATGCGCAGATGCGTTTTTTCACAATTTTCTTGTGGGCGGGACCACTCGCGGCCATTTTGGATTGCAACTTATAGTGCCACAAAGCACATTACAGATGTGGGAATTTGTCCTCTCAGTCTACACAGAGATGGGAATGAGGTCTCTAGTACAGAAGGCACATGCCAGAGCTATTACACATGTTTTTAGTGGTAGGGGAAACCGGAACACCTGGAGGAAAACTAAGAAGACACGGGGAGAACATGCAAACTTCACACAGAAAGGTCTGGAGGTGGAATCGAACCCAGGACATTCTTGCTGTGAAGTTAGTTAGTTTTTCATCTTAGTATGTTCATAGAGTGGCGTGTTCGTGACCCGTGAGTGCCACTTTACCTCCGTGTCTGCGTCTGTCGCCTTCAGTTCAAACTCTGTGATGGTTTTCCGCACTCCCTCCTGGACTCTCATTCCGGGGACCGACAGCAACGGAAGGGAGTCATCCACAGGCTTGATGGTGATGTAGAAGGTCTGAGCCACCTGGAACGAGGTCAATAAATGCATTATAAGGTGTGTTAGTCAAGCAAGTGACAGCTGTTTCTGAGCATGTCTATCAATTTAGCCAGTGTAAAACCCACTGGGAAAACAAAAGAGTTATAATTTTATAGTACTGGCACCCAAAATTGCCCATAGCATACTGATCATTGCACTACAAAGCACTTACATGGAAATTGTCCCATTACACTTGATTTAAGATGAACCTTTATTAGTCTCACAGAAACCCAGAAAAGAACCCAGAATTAACCCAGAATAGAATATTAATCCGTGTCTACGGCATTTAAAAAGTATACATACAAATCACAAACAGAGAATCCCTGGTGAAGTTTTGTTTTGGCCTGAAGCTCTTCCTCCTCCAGCCCACGTCAACACTTAATATCCACAAGTCAAATGTACAAGACAAACCTGTTTAATATGTATGGAAGAGAACCTCCTGCTTTAGACCAAGACGAGTTCTGTCCTAGTTTGCGTCACATCTGAACTTCTACTGCTACAATTTTGACTATTGTATGAAGCCTGCCATACCATTGCTGTTACTTCTGCTTTTTACGGCTATTAAAATTAGTGATTAATACCACTACTGCGGCTACTACTGAATTCATTATATTTATTTAATCTTAAATTCAGCGATTCTTTATTTGTCGCCCACAGTGGTAAAATTTCAGTGTTGCATCACCAGTTACAGGACAGTAGGAAAGAGAAGCACACAGCACAAGATAAGTGGGACAAGCAAAATTATATTGTTTTATAAAGATACAAGCAACTAAATGGCTTTGTCACAATGGCAAATCTTGTTTTAAGACAGTCAGAATGTACTCAAATTAAGACAAAAACCTTTGAATTCAAGCAATTCTTACCTCATATTTTATCATTTTTTTGCCGTGTGTTTATACTATACAAGGCATAGAATGTAATATAATTCTACCAGTATTCCACCACCTTTAGATCCACCACTACAACAACTTCTACCTACACAATTCTGTCAAATTTCCGCAGCTCTATCCATCCACATTATTCTAGATGACATTCTAACACACCTCGTTCAAAACTATAGCCAGTGTCTCCAATGACAGACCCGCCTCCAGGGCTGAACGCCTCATTGGCATTCAGAGTGAGTGACAGGGGGGCGGGGCTTCCTGATTATCACCTCTGTCACGTCTGCACTGTCCAACCGCTCACGGCTGGACCGCGAGGGTACAGGGACACTTATGTAACAGCAGAGGAGATCGACAGTATGAGTGAGGTTCTACTGTTGAGATAGACACTTATGTGGTGTGAAAGTTGTCCAGATTTTTGAGATTTTATACCTACCTCTCTATTATGCTAAATCGAGTGGATCAAGTCTTAAAGGTATTTAGGAGGATTTTCCCAAATTTTAGGAAAGAACCGCCCACTCCACTTTTTGGACAAAACTCTCTGGTCTTATTTGACAACCAGATCTCCAAAATGATTGAAAATTGGGAGGACCTATAGTCTTGATGATCCACCTGGAAGTAGAAAATCCTCCTATAAACCTTTAATTTGAGTACATTCTGACTGTCTTAAAACAAGAAATACCAATGGGACGAAGCCATTTAGTCTTATTTCAAGTAGTGTTGCTTTTTTTTTCTTAATCAAAGGGAGACATTTCTTGTATCTTTTTAAAACAAGAATTTTGCTTGACCCATTGGCAAATCTGATAGATAAATAGAGACTTTATTGGTCCCCCGAAGGAGAAGTTCAGGTGTCCAGCAGCAGAAGACAGTACAGTCTGACAGCCGAAAGAACAAAGCATCTCTTAAAATGTTCCGTTCTGCAGTGCAGTGATATGAGCAGTGATATCTGTTAGTTTAGGCAGTCAAAAAGGGCTCAAAATAAGATAGATTTTGCCAAATTTGAGCAATTTTTTACCTATCACCTCTGTTCATTAATCCAAATTGTTACGTCCAAATAAACAAATACAAAAATGTTTGTGTAATTGTGATAAGTGACACAGGGAGGACACGAGCATCAGGCCTCCTCACCTCGTTGTTTCCATCAGACACAGTGAAGGAGAACTGATCGGCGTGTTTCTCCTCCTCGCTGGTGTGGACGTACTGGATGCTGCGAGACGCCAGATCTGCCTGAGTGAATGAACTGATCCGGGTGCCTAAAAAACATAAAAAATATACTTCATTTATTTCTATTGTGGACAATGACAATACACTTGAGAGAAAGAGCCCTGCGAGTCACCATTAGGCGCTTTGGGCTGAGCGCTGATAGGCTGAGCAAGGATGGTTCTTACTTTATCACTTTTCTGGTTGGAAAAGCAAATCTACAAAGCAAAAAAATATGGAATAAGTTCAAACAATGGGAGCACAATTATATTGTTTTAAATAGAAATGTCTCCCTTGGAATAAAGAAACTGTTCTTGAAATAGGACTAAATGGCTTTGTCCCATTGGCCAATCTTGTTTTAAGACAGTTAGAATGTACTCAAACTAAGATGTTTTTTTTTCTTTATAATTTTTTGCAGTGAGGCAAACATACATGGACCAAACTGTTTTGAGAGATACAAACTAGATACATGAATTTTAATATGGTTCATTTTTTTATAGTTTCAAAATTAAGTACCCCAGCTTTAACATGCAAGTAGTTCCACTTTTTGAAGTTGGAAAATTGAGTGCTGTTAAAAATTGATTTCAGAGTAAAGCCTGGAATGTTAATAACTTGAGCAAAATAACCTTTTGTGAAGAAAGCTTTGTAATTTGTTCCAAAGTTGAGGCCTTGGTGGAAAGCGATTGAAGACCATTGAAAAACCAATTCCTGCTTCCGGCAAACAGCAACAACACGATGCACTGGTTCAAAGGTGTTGAATTATAAGATTAATGGACACTAGTCACAATTTCTGTTAAAATGCCTCACAGGAGGTCTACCAGGGACAGCAATTTCTTTGATTGGAAAAAGAGAGAGTAGGAAAAATAAATTGCTATATCTGGGTTTCTCCTTGTTATGGTGTTTTTTTTAATTTATCAGAAATAGTGTTTAGTATATAATACTACAAAATAAGAAATGCAAACATTCAGCCATTTCCCCTGGTCTGTGCAGTTTCCCCTCTTATGTTTTCAAAGTCGTTTTAAGATTATTTTATAGATCTGTAACATCTCTGGAAAAAAGTGCATTCAAATGGAATATCTATCCATCCATTCATCTACTTCCCCTTAATCCACTTCTGGGTTGGGGGGGTGGAGATTAGCTGCACCCAGTTCACAGAGCACCTCACTGATCCTCCTGTAGTGGTGAGTCCACAGGAGGATGAATGCTCTGTCTGTGAGAGCACAGCCTTGATCTTTCAGTGGGTGCTTCAGGCAAAGTGGTTCTAAGTGCCTTGCGGAAGGACACAACGACAGCAGACATCAGTGGGAGTCGGTGGAAAAGGTCATTGACCCAAAGGCCAATGCTCTACCAACTGAGCCACTGTCGCCCCAAATGAAATAAAATGTCACGACGCATTCTCTTTAATAACATAATTGATTAAAGTAGTAAACACTTTTAAGTTCAATTTTTATTTCTTGTTAAGTTTGTTTTAATATATTTAAATAATTGATGATACAGTAAAAAGGAGTAGGTCATACATTATTTAAAGCAGCAGTAAGCGATTTTTGGGTGTTAATATACGTCTTAAATATTGATATATTCCAATAGCCATCACTTATATAGCGTGTTTGTACCTAAACACGGATCTCTCAGTCCTTCCAGTCTTCTCCCACATATTTAATAAAAAAACCTCACATCCTATGCGCTTATCCAATGACGAGAGAGCACGCCATATGGGCTAGACACACGGGAGGCGACATCGCATCGCCTCCATTCATTTCAATGGGACGTGCGCGACATAGCGTCAATCGCTAGCGAGCCTCCTGCTCAGCGACGGGCGAAAAACGTGCGTGTGAAATCCTCCCGCTCGTGCATGTATCGTGCACGCGCGGGTCAGCGACGCGATCCCAGAAAGTTGAAATCGGCTCAACTTTATAATGGGCTCGACACACGGGAGGCGACAAATGAGAGCGATCAGCGAAACTCAACGCTGTTGCTCAGATAACATGACAGACGGGGCGCGATGCGGCTTGACGACAGCGTCGAAAAGTTGAGCCGATTTCAACTTTCTGGGATCGCGTCGCTGACCTGCGCGTGCACGATACATGCACGAGCAGGAGGATTTCACACGCACGTTTTTCGCCCGTCGCTGAGCAGGAGGCTCGCTAGCGATTGACGCTATGTCGCGCACGTCCCATTGAAATGAATGGAGGCGATGCGATGTCGCCTCCCGTGTGTCTAGCCCATAAGGGGTTTCTCCCGTGTGTGCACGCGCACTCTTCAAAACAAACATGGCGGAGAAGGAAAAGCCGCCTCCAGCGCTGCTGCAGACTAAATACATGGATGGATTTATTAAATACAGGCAAAACGCCAGAAACAGAGGAACGACAAAAAGTAGGAGCAACATGGTGACCAGCTGCATTCATGTTGGCGACCTCTAGCTCCGTGGATTCCTCTCTCCGACTGAACAGGTGAGCATGTTACTCAGTAGTGGCAGTAGTAGTTGTATTATTTATACATATTGTTGCCTGAGACTGTAATGCGGGCTTTCACCAAGTTAGCTAGTTAAAAATCCCCAGCTGTTGTAGAAATACGGCCGCATTTTGTGGCAATAACTGCGCATTACCTTGGCTTAGCTTTGAGAAACAACAACAGACAACACAACATCGAAGCCTTAGCCCAGCCTCAGCCATCCATAAACTCCGGTCAATTATAAGTTCCCCACATGTACAACATTAAATGACCATATCACCAGAGTTCCCCCGTGAAGTGGTGTTAGCATTAGCGTTCGCTGTTAGCATTAGCGTTCGCTGTTAGCATTAGCGTTCGCTGTTAGCATTAGCGTTAGCTGTTAGCATTAGCTGTCTGTAGTTGTGAATATGATGTGGCTGCTACGAACACTTCTGATCTGTATGAATCGTTTGTTTTTGCCAATAAACATAGTTGCTTGCACTATATATATATGTAGGTCTGCATTTCATTCTTCAATGACTAAGTTTTTCAACTTGCACTCTGTATATTAGTTTTATTGTTATAAAAACAATATCTCTTTACCTGAAATCTAACTTCCGTGACCACTACATACATTTTTATTATTATGTATTGAGAATAAGTAAGAGTCTTGCTGACTACTACCAAATAAATTATGAGCATGATATAATATAGACATTGTAATAATTTACATGTCTTCATTGCATTCTTTTCTCTGTATCTTTTCCAGTATGGCCTAAATCAATTGGAATGAGGTCTTCAATGTACAAGAGTTCAAAAGCCTCCATAATGCAAGTTAAATAACTATTAAAAAAAAAACAATGCCATAACGACTAGATACTTTTCTGCTGACCTCTTCTTTCTCTAGTATTGACTGCGAAGACAAGACTTTGCTTCCAGAATTAGAAGATCGGCCATTGTCATCTCCTGAGGAAGACTTTACACCCCACATTTGTCATGTAGGTTGTTGTGAATGCATATATGGGACGCAGTGATTATGATAATGATGTTGTGATGTGTGTGTCGTTCATCCCTACAGTTGTGTTGCTGCCCTGAGGTCCAAAATGAATATCGATCATGTTCCAGGAGTCAGTGTTGACAAAACTGTCGCTGAGTTTCTTCAACAATCAAGAGGAGTGAGATAATCACTCGACTCCCAAAACAGCCGATGTAAGTGTCTTTCTCTCACAATGCACAGTCTCTCACAGTCCAAATAAACATGTTCAAGGATCCTGTGGATCAGGGGCCACTCCTGGTGACCAATAAATACTGATGTTGTTGATGATGAATATATCAAAGTCATATTTGAGTAGATAAAACTGATGTCTCTTCTATTATGTTTCAAAGGAAAATCTCTGCCAGAGGAAGACTCCAGTTCCTTCAACCTGGGCCCCTGAAGCGTGGCTGTGTGTGCGTGTGGCTGTGTGTGCGTGTGGCTGTGTGTGCGTGTGGCTGTGTGTGCTTGTGACTGTGTGTGACTGTGACTGTGTGGCTGTGTGTGCGTGTGGCTGTGTGTGCGTGTGGCTGTGTGTGCGTGTGGCTGTGTGTGCTTGTGGCTGTGTGTGCTTGTGGCTGTGTGTGCTTGTGGCTGTGTGTGGCTGTGTGTGCTTGTGGCTGTGTGTGCTTGTGGCTGTGTGTGCTTGTGGCTGTGTGTGCTTGTGGCTGTGTGTGCTTGTGACTGTGTGTGCTTGTGTGTGCTTGTGGCTGTGTGTGCTTGTGGCTGTGTGTGCGTGGCTGCTTATGAATTATTTTGAGGAAATGTGTTCAAACAAACCACAACATAAAGATTAACATTTTGTTAGATATCTCTGATAGTGTTCGCTGCAGCAGCGATGGATAAGGACCTGAATAATAACCGTGTTATTCATTTGAGCAAAAAGTGATAACACAAACGTTGCCTTACCATCACTTGTAATTATTTGTCTTAGTAGGGACATTGTGTATATTTTTCCGGCTATAACTTCAAATCTTCTTTTACATAATAAAGTTTCTTAGACTCGTTACAGACTGTATTTGTTTTCCTACTATAAAACAAAGCACATTGAAAGAGGTGAATGTATTTTTTTTTATTTTGAAATAGTACAACTACAAACATATTTCAGAACTGCAGAGTGGACGTGCACCATGGGGGCCGCTGAGGACGTGCACCATGGGGGCCGCTGAGGAAAGCACGTTTTCAATGTCTGTTGGCACCTTTCACAGACGCACCAGGGAAAGGTCTGGGAGGATCTGGTCATCAGCTTCTCTGGACAGAGGGCGTTCAGTGCTTCCTGAAAGAACCGTTATGACAAATGACTTTATATATTCTGTTACTTGTAGCTTTTCTTTCAAAGTGGTGAGTTTCCTTACAGTGTAATAGTGTAACGTAATTAGTTATGACAGTACTTTTGCGTTTCGGACAAGCTTTACTGGAATTGTTTTTCAGTCCCACATCTCACTGTACAGCTCTGATACACTTTGATTTTGTCTTCATTCTCTGAACAATAAGCACATAATACAGATGTTGATTACATCAATAAATGTATCTTTATTTTGTGACATTGAGAAGGCAGCTTCCAGTGAGATGCAGCTTTACTTTCACATAATACATTACTACAGTGTTGTCTATAAAGAACTCCAAATATACAAATTGTGAGGAAAGCAGTAATGTATTACTTTAAATAACCTTCATGTAAAGCGTTGTTGTAATGTATATGCATTACATTCATCTAATACATATGCACTGTAACAGATGTTACAGTGCATAATGTTGAGACACGTCACACTGCAATCTGCAACATTATGTTTATCACAACAGTTATCAGTGTGCCAACTATAAAAGCAGTATTATTCTATAAAAGACTGGATTGTTTTTATCTCTTTCTTAGTGATGCTATCCTAGCTAACACCAAGCTGCTTCCAGTGTTATAGCTAGGTTACAACTGAGCTATTCTATGCTAATATTTCACTCCCAGAGTTTGTTGTTAATATACTTACGAGTAGACCCGACGGAGATGAATCTGCTGCTGCCATCACCAAGACGATGCGCGTTCATGTGGTGTGACGAGGAGACGGGGGCGGGGCTACTAACTCGCTCAGGCAGAAGAAACTGCCGGAAACGACCAAATCGCTTACTGCTGCTTTAAAGACTGCCTAAATATGCCATTGGTTAAGTTAGTTTAAGAGTACAGATATCAACAATAACCAATAAAATGTAGCTTCAAGAAAATTGTGTTCTAAAGTTTGCTGTTGATATGTACCTGGGACGTTGGCGTGCTCCAGGTGCCCCAGTGCGGGCTGCTTGGTCACATGGTACAGCAGCTCCCCCGGCTCGCTGTCCTGGTCACTCGCCGACAGCTGCAGAGTGGTAATCTTCTTCATGCTGTTTTCATCCAGGACCAAACCTTTGTTCACCTCCACCATCGGAGGCAGCCGGTCCTCTGCAGAGAAGGACACTTAGAGCTTAAAGGTGCCAGATCACGCGTTTTGACTTTTCTCTGGTTTAAACATGATGACAGTGCTATTGGGCCTTTATACACATGCCAGGAGTAGTTTTTTCGTTTATTCCCTCAAGATTTAGTTACAGTTTAGTTCGTTCTCTAGAGGCACAGAAACAACTCTATTCCAAATCGTGAAGTGCACCAATCTGTGACGTCGAAAGCCCGTCTTCAAGAGGGGATTGACAGCGGGGAGAAACTGAACCAACGAATTAGCGCAGTCTATGATAAGCGCATGTAGCCTCTGTAAATAAAAAATAATAATTCATCCGTTTTATATAGCGCCTTTTTTTGGACACTCAAAGACTCTTTACATGTCAATTATTCTTTCTCACCGTCCAAATACGGTGTGAATAAACTACTACTGTTGCCACAGCTGCCCTGGGAGCAAACTGACCAGAAAGCGAGGCAACCAGTAATGTGCCATCGCCCCTCCGACAACCATCCCAACCATTCACTAAACACCAGACTCATTCTAGCAATGTGGGTGAACGTGTCTTTGGCCTAAGACACAGACGGCAGTTTGGCACTTTACAGCCCGCAGCTGCCACCCCACCTGTTGGCTGGTGTTCCTCCCAGAGGTTTAGTGACTTGACCAGCAGACAGATGGGAGTCTATGGTGAAAAGTCGGGCTCGAACACCACAACCTTCTGGCTCAAGGCCAATAGCTCTACCAACCGACTAACTGATCACCCTAATATGGTATGAACAATCATACCATACTAAATAGGCTCTATGGTTGTGCCTATAGTCATAAACAATGTCAATGTCAATGTCCAAATTATTTCTATAAGCACATTTACAACAACAAACGCTGCCTCCAAAGTGCTGCACAGTAAAATACATCAAGATACAAAAAAGGCTATAGTAAAAACAAAAGTATGTTCAAATTAAATCTTGATTGTAGATCTCTTTTTGAGTCACAATTGAAACTACGGGGCATCTCCACCCATTTTGGAAAAGGACTATAAAAGAAAAACGTACATAATGTAAAAACACATCATTAGGAGATTATTAGTGTTATCTTCGCATCTTGAATAAAAAAATGACATTCGCTTCCATTAAACCAGAAGTGAACAATAAAGTGTTACATAAAAAAGGGGAAAAAATAGGCACCACATATGTTATCTAATAGAAAGCCGCTTCATAAATGCGTAATACAGACTCTGTTCCTGTAAATTGCAGTGCACAAGATTCTGGCAACACAAGTAGATTTGTAAGACTTTAATTAAAAAGAGTAAGTGTACACACTACATACAAACCCTTTTATGTCTATCAATTAAATGATTTGCTTTGTATGACAACACCTTTTAATCAGCTAATACAGTATTAGTAGTAGTAGTCAAAATGCCCCATCATAGCCACTAATCAGCATTTCTTTGAAATATACACAAACATAGTAAGGTTTATCTGTAAACAGAGGTCAGACAGTTGATCAATGCCGCAGTCATGGTGGTCCATTTTGTTGGCACTAGAGCAGGAGACCACCCTCTACACTTCATCTCTTTTGCCAATTGCATGCATAATCCTGTCATAGTCTAGAATAGCAAAACCCTTCAGGAATACTTTTTTGGTGTCTTTATTTTTTCCCTCTTTTTTTCTCTCTCTGCATCCGTGCTCTGAGCATCTCCTGCTGGTGTCAGAGAGCGGGGGTGGGGACTTCTCTTGACACCAGCACTGTACAGTCTGTGTGTGTGTATTATGAAATACAAACATGGGAGCGTGCGTGGGTGTTTTTTCGCAAACCTCCACCCTAAGCTTAAACAGGAGTAAAATGCTTTGTGTTACTGGCACTCCATTAGAAGCCATGAAAACACAAAAAAAACTGGGAAATTGGAAGGAGAAGGAAAAGTGTGGTGGGCAATGGGTATTGGGGGAAAGTTGGTGGTGCCTATGCTTTTGCCTGCCTGCCTCCTGTCTGCCACACCCGGGCCTTGCATGCTCCTATATACTCCTCCACCAATGCCATAAGCGATTTTATCTGCTGGTGTTACCATGAGAACGGAGTATGAGCTATTGAGAGGGGGGAAATATGTCCTCCAGCCACTGCAAAATCAACATGACAAACCCCATCAAACGTGAGCAATATCAGTGTATGTGCTGCGGCATTTAGTTCATGCACCATAAAAAAAATTATAAATATGGTTTATATATACGGGGCAGGATAGTTGGTGGTGTATTTAAACAAGGCAGATCCTAAGTAACAGTCGATCAAGCACAATATATGATGGTGTATTGCGTTTTAAGTAAGACACTTCAGGTGGGGTTTCCAGTTCCATCGCCAATGGGAGGATGTGGAAGAATCAGTAGAGAGGTGGTGATGGAGCGTGTGTGTGCGTGAGTGTAGGGGGGGCCAACATCACTGAGAAAAGGAGGAAGAGAGCCGCGAGGGTGGGGTTTATGGGGTGATCGCAAGTCCCAGGAGCGGCGCGAGTGAAAAAGAAGATACAAGGGAAAAGCATTGGCTGAAGAGAACGTGCAAACTGGGATGAAGTAGTACATGCACCGGGCGACTTCTTATCCTGTTGATACACAGCCTTCCATCCCCAGCGAGAGAGACTGTGCCACCAGAGAGAGTGAGAGAGAGAAAGAGCGTGTGTGAGTGGAAGAGAGAAAGATCATGAAGAAATATGAAAAGGAACAAAGCAAGGTGACTAAAACTACAACTATGCTGTCTGCATAAGAAGAACCACGCGTAAAGTATCTATTTCAATGTCTTTTAGAGCTTGCCGTAAAGTTTTGTAGTTTTTGGAGGGATTAACCCACAAACGGCGGGTCAGCTTTGCCTCCAGACACGCCTAGTTAATGTGATTACTGCATGAGTGGATGTTGCCACAATATCTCCTTTAAGACTATAAATGGTGTCAGATTCAACATCCACAACCAAATGAAACAGCAACATTACGCATTATTGCTTATTGTCAATATTCAAAGTGTGAAAAAAAAAAAAACTCATGCCTTCTTCCACAACAGGGATTGAGTGCCCGATAAAGAGAGCATTATGCTTATTGTCTAAATATTCAAAGTGTGAATAAAAAAAATAAAAAAACTCATGCCTTCTTCCACTACAGGATGAGTGCCCCTAATGAATCTATGTAAAGCTTCCTTAATTACCACAAAATAAACAACAAATACTAATATCTTCATTGAGCAAAATGGAAGCCGCACTAACGTAACTTTTCCACAGTGATGGAGAGGTTGAACTAGAAAAAAAAGGTGGTGTAAGACTGAGTGAGAGCAACCATCGTGTAAGTTGCCCTCTGGAGTACACATGGGAAAAAATGATTAAAAGGAATATTCATAGCCCCTCTAGCTTCATAAGTGGACACTGTCAATGGAGGTGACTATGAAGTGTGCACTTGATTTAAAGGGTGTGAAAGCGGCACATTGGGTGGTTTCAGATAGAATGGAAGGTTTTTTTATCGACAAAATTTTGAATGGGAAAATCAACTGTGTAGGTAAACCTCAATGATTGATTTAACACACATGGCTTCTGTGAATTGCTTCCTAAATGACAAGCTTGGATGAGTCATATCCGCTTTGAGACAAAAGAGAAGAAAAAGCATGCAAGGCTTTCCCGATTTTAGATTTGACAGACATGCCGGTTGTGCTCTGCAGGCGCAAAGTATATGTATGTAGTGGCGAGAATAGGTGAGAATGGGAGATGGCGCAAAGGTGTGGGTGGGGGAAGGTAGTTTTTTTTTTTTAAAGTCCAGCAAGAAGTAGAAACCGAGATTGAGCCTCAAAAACCTCCCTGCAATTGTCGCCGTGGTGACAGGTTGAGACAATGGAGGGAGCAAGAACAAAACTGGGGAAAAAAAAGAAGAAATAATCCAAAAAGCCGGCACAACGCTGTTCTAGCTAAATAGTACTACGGCTGCTCTGGCACTCTTGCAGCCATGTGGGTGAGGCACCGGCTTTTTTCCCCAAACGCTGCCCCCTCCCCACCGTGGACCCCAAAATTTGTTCAACACCGGTGATAATATACTCACTCTACATGCTACACCCCCTTTAAGTTTGTCCCTATATCTCTATTTTTTTTATTTTTATTTTTTTATTTTTTATTATTTTTGGATAAAATTTCATGGTTGGGTGAATACAAAAAAAAAGAAATATCTAGAAACTATCTTCTGTCATTCTAGTACTGAACAATCTCCATATTTTGGATTGTAGTGCTGAAATGATGTAAATTAAACCATAGCCAAAGCCACCATTTTCACCCCAATCCTCAAATTCCACTATTCTACTTCCTTGTCTGCTCTCCCTTAGCCTCCAGCCCACACGTGAACCACATTGTTAATTAATCTGAAAATCACAATAAATAAGATCTCGCTTCTCTTCTTCCACACCTTCAATGATGCTATACACAGCCATCTGCCCTGATCCTTCCTATCTATTTTTTTTTTCCCCCCCTTTTTCTTTTTTCTTCTCTCTCCATCATAAATCCTTTGCCCATCTCATCGGATTGCCCCAGCCCCATATGAGAACATGTAGGTGATTGTGGAGCCTTTGTTCAGCCAGAATAACCGGCGTACATCAATTAAAGAGCTCTGCTTTCCTCCAAGGATGTTCCCATGCTACCAGCTTGCTTATTTGTTGTAATTGCTATTTTCTCTTATACAATAAGGTTTTTCTTTTCCCCATGCTGAGCTACCCCCCCCAACCCCTTGACTCTCCTCTCTTCGCTGGCTGCCTCGCTCCCCTTTTTTCTGCGGAGATAGCCGGCTAAAATGGGTGTGGTACTTCCGCTTGACTGCTTGAGCTAGGGAACAGAGAGAGAGAAAAGGAGCGCGGAATGAGTGGGTACAGTTTGCGCGCCGGAATGGAAAAGAACAGTGCAAGGGGTGAAAAAAAAGATCGCTGAAACACAGGCGAAGTAAAATGCACATCCTTATGGCAGACACGAGCAGAGACTATATTGGTCAGGAATGAGGATGCAATGG